CGTCTCCAGAAAGGGGGGATTGCTTTGAGATCGATGGGCGTATGCAGACCTTCGGTGGTCTGAGCTGCGGAGGGTGCCATTGTTCGGTAACAGTTAAAAGGAAGAGACAAATTAATCAGACAGATTCAGAACTCTTTGGCAAGTAGTCTTCGGCTTGGGCGTGAGCTCATTGAGCGTATAAAGTCCCGAACAGCATGCGTGTTGCATTTATATAAACATCCTAGACTGTAACAGGGTCTCACAACAAGTTTAGCAAGAAATTAACGACTCAAGCCGAAGAAAAAGTCTCGTTCCCCATGGGGACGTATGGGCTGATCCCCGCCTCGCAACTTCGGCTAGACGGAGAATCGGAGAAATATGGCGTAGATGCGAGACCGACGCACTACGGCGGATCCAGTTGATCATGAGGCCTCATACTCGAATTTCCTAAATCAGAACCCTCCCGTTGATCGGAGAAACTGTGGGCAGAAGGGGGTGTGGAGAAACCGGCTCCCTCGAACGTCATCGCAGATTGGAGTGCCGTATAAAGAAAGTTTCTCAGGAGTTGAGGAGGAGTAGATTTGGACATGAGTACAGTTATTCTTTTTCTGCGCTGATCTGTTGTTGAATTGAAGACCTCTAGGCAAAGGGCCAGGATCACCGCCACGACAATGACAACTCCAGCACTACCTCCCAACTTTGAGTGGGGGTTTGCCACGGCGTCTTACCAGATCGAAGGAGCCGTGGCAGAGGATGGCCGCGGGAAATCCATTTGGGACACGTACTGCCACCTGGAACCAACAAGAACAAAGGGCGCAAACGGCGATGTCGCTTGTGATCACTACCATCGCTTTGAGCAGGACATCGAGCTATTGAGTAAGTATGGGGCAAAAGCCTACCGCTTCTCCATCTCGTGGTCCCGGATCATTCCCTTGGGCGGGAGAAACGACCCCCTCAATGAAGCCGGGATCGCATTCTACAACAGGCTGATAGATGGGCTCCTCGCCCGAGGGATCACACCCTGGGTGACCCTGTACCACTGGGATCTTCCTCAAGGATTGCATGATAGATATGGCGGGTGGTTGAATGTGGATGAGATACAGCTCGATTTCGAGAGGTACGCTCGTGTTTGTTTTGAGCGCTTCGGTGACAGGGTCAAAGACTGGATCACATTAAACGAGCCGTGGATCCAGTCCATATTTGTAAGGCCTTTCCATGCTTTCCCTCAAGATCGGCAGGTCTGATATATTATACAGGGTTATTCCACAGGAGGTAATGCCCCTGGGCGAAGCAGTACCAATAAGCAATCTACTGAAGGAGACTCGACGACTGAGCCCTGGATCACCGGCAAAGCCCAGATCATGAGCCACGCTCGTGCAGTCGCAGCCTACGACAGAGACTTCCGTCCATCTCAAAAAGGGAAGATCGGAATATCGCTGAACGGTGACTACTACGAGCCTTGGGATGCAAATGATGAGCGCGACAAGGAGGCTGCGGAACGAAGAATGCAATTTCACATTGGTTGGTTTGCCAATCCAATCTTGTGAGTCAGCCACCCAAGATATTCATCATTCGTCTCTGTTCTGACCTCGACAAGCTTAAAGCAAGATTACCCTGAATGCATGCGTACGCAGCTGGGCAGTAGGTTGCCGCGCTTCACAGAATCCGACTTTGAGATTTTGAGAGCAGCCGAAACAGACTTTTACGGCATGAACTACTACACGTCTCAGTTTGCACGTCATCGGGAGACTCCAGCCCCCGACACTGACTATGTTGGCAATGTCGATGAACTGCAAGAGAACAAGGAAGGTCTCCCTGTTGGAGAAAAGAGCGGCCTTCACTGGCTCAGATCCTGCCCCGGGATGTTCCGCAAACACCTCACCAGAGTGTATCGCCTCTACGGCAAGCCCATCTACATAACTGAGAATGGGTGCCCGTGCCCCGGGGAGGACAAGATGACACGCGAGGAGGCAATCAACGATCCTTATCGCATTCGTTACTTTGAAAAGCATCTGGATTCTATTAGTAAGTCCATCAATGAAGACGGGTCGGTAATCAGCGGGTACTTTGCTTGGTCGTTGCTCGACAATCTAGGTAGGTCAAGTATCGTTTTCAGCAACAAGTGCAGAATTCTAATTCGTCATAGAATGGTCAGATGGATACGGACCTCGCTTCGGCGTCACATTCACAGACTATGACACTTTAGAGCGAACGCCGAAGAAGTCAGCCTTGCTCCTCCATAGCATGATTACGGAGAGGCAAGCGGTCAAAGCCGCGTCTTAAATTAAAGATTAATATAGAATAGAAAGACAAAGACATCTATAAACTCTTTTCATACTTCTTAGGTTGAGTTGCAAAGCGACTGTAGGGGGGAGATGAGGCAATGCTGTTTCGGCTTGAAACTTGAAAAGCACTAACACGCTTGTGTGATTGATATTCATTCTGAGTCAATTGAATGCAAACGGTCATTCAAAGATTGATTCTTTCAACAAGAAAATTCATTTACCACATCGTCATGTAAACAGTCAAAACAGCCCATGCTCAGAGTGTGATAATCGAGTCACGGCTTAGAGGGCCATTCACAAAGCAAGCTTTAGACGAACTATGCCCAGTCATTTATTGAACTTTTGACTAACTACCATGTCCACACTATGTATGAATCCACATATATCCCCGTTAACCGCCCACCGCTCACCAGACAAGAGGCTGTGCTGGCTGTGACGGCGGCCGTCGGAGTGTAGCCAAATTCTCCGTCCCGGCCATCCACTCAACGCTTTATTATCCGACACAGCCCACTCCTAGTACATTCTTTTTTCATGCTCTTGCTATAGATTTAACCTCAAGAAATATGGGTATGAGATTGGTCACTTTCCTTGGTATGGGTTCATCTCTGCCGCGGTAGGAACCCTTCTGTTCAATCCCTCACCGCTACCCGTCACTTCCAACCGGCTGAGCACATATGCGGTCTCTAATTCAACAATAAGCCGACAAAGAAGGGTCGATGCCAAGAAACGAAAAACGATATGGATAGCATCATTGACTGACACAAACAAGATGCTAGAAAACAGCAGAGTCCCCAAGAAAACATGAGCAGTCGTATATAACGCAGCCAGCCACGTCAACACTGTCGACGTTGCCGTCGATTTGAGGACCTGGATGCGTTCCTTCCCACCACCGCCGTTGTGGTCGATCAACGTATGATCCTCGTTGGCCGACGGTGTTGACGATGAAGGGCCACGCTGAATGCGGAGATGGACAGCAAGTGCACCAAGGAGATGGATCGTCAGGCCGACAAAGGCCCAAATATAGATGAGGAAACCGGCCCGCGTGGCAAACGTAAAGACCGTCCGGGAGCTGATACGGTAGCAAAGCTCGGCAACGTTGGCAATCGAGCCCATGGCAAGCAAATACGCGAGCGACTGGCCCAATACTGGCCACAGCCTCTGTCTCCTCAGCGCCTCGTCGCCTCTCGGCCTCCATGGGAAAGTCGACACTCTTGACTTCTTCTCTTGGAATATCTGCCGCACTGAGCTGTGGTCTAATGTTGGGCTCACGGTCGGCGATGCAAGCGCCAGGAGCATGGCAAGAGGATATTGTCTGCCCGCCGCAGCAATGACGCCGATCTGCACCACACTAGGTCCTAGAAGCGCGAGGATGGTAGGGGCCACGCCGAGAAGCACTTGCGAGGCGGCCATGAGCGCCTTGGTAAGCTCAGGTGTGTTTTGCAGCAGACATTCCACAAGAAGAAGGGTCGTTGTGTCGATATGGAAGACGCGCTCCACGTCGTCAAGCTCGTCGTCAGGGACCCTTGTGGATTTTCTTTTCCCCTCTCTCCTTTCCTGTTGATACTCGAGGTGTTTTCTGTACGCGGCACCGCAGTGCTCATCACTGCTGAGCAGGAATGAGAAGCCGTCGCTGACTTGTGGCAGGAAATTATTGAATCCGCTGCGCAAAAAGTCGGCGGACACGATGGGAGTAAGCGCAAGGGCGAATACGCCCAAAAAAGGAGCAAACCGCATGTTTGGCTACCAGTGCTAATGTTGTTGTTTGCCGAGAGTGTCTCTCCTAGCTCAAGGCGTTGGGGGCGGATTTTCCCAGGCAACAAAAGGTTGGTCCGTCCTGGGGATTTCAGTCTTTTACAAATTTCTCACACTCTGAATTGCTTGGCTAGTAGGTGCCGACTCCACTGGCAAAAGGGGAAAGACTCTCAAGCAAGCAGAGGGTTCAGCTGCTGTTGGTCCTGCGTGGCGTGACATTGCATGCAGTTGGTGAGACCTGGAGCCTCATCTAGTGGATGTCAGTGGACAGTCTGATCGAGAGACGGGTCTTCAGCGCCTCGTCGACGACAGACAGTGGTCAATCAGATGGATCAAGGACAGAGATCGACCCTCCTAGGCCTTCATCTCACCAACAGCCCCACCCCTTGAGCAAGGGGATTCCGCCATGATCAAACATTGATCGATATCAGTCTCTCGCGAGTTCCATGGCATTCTTCATGTCTCGTTCATTGCAATCGTCAATGACAAGATAGAATGTTTGGTGGGAGAATCTCACAAGTCAACAACAGGACTCTCTCAGCGATTACTCGGATCGATCACTTCGGCTCAAGTCTCTTCTTTAAGCCAGGTGCATAAATTCTCAGCGCCTACATGGCCAAGACTCCATCGTACTAACCTGAATGGTGCTCAATTCAACCTGTTGGTTGCTCATCTTTTGTTCTCAACCAACATCGAAATCTGCCAACCCCTGCAATTTTCTATTTTGCATGTAACAGTTGTCAGAAGAGATTCACTAGCTCTCAGAGGCCTTGACCGCTAAGCCAAAAGATGTGTATCTCTTGCGGGAAAATCTCACAATTTCTTATCATTCGTTCCAATAGTAGTCACTCGAATAATTTAACATAAATATTGGTCAACCAAGAAAAGTGCAAGCTATTCATTTGCCATTGAGTTAATACAATCATTATATTTGCGGACTGTGGTTAAACTCCTGCTCTGCAAGGCAACACTCATATCCAATGCCTAGGAGATTCCCAGCCTTTGCCCTTTCACTAAAAAGGCGGTCATCACGCCTTCGCCCACTCGGAAATGGGGTGCATGGATTACTTCGAGTATTGAGGAGAGCGCGAATGAGTGGGTGACAAGGGCGATGAAGGTCCCCGAGTTTTCCTTCCAAATATCTTCGAACAACGTTTGCGTGCGGGCGGCATTCTCTACATTGGACTCTGATCGATCGGCATGCCACAACACATCTTCTTCTGCGAAGGCTGTCTCCAACTCGTATTCTGGATAGGTGGCTGTAATCCAGGTCCTTGCTCTCCTCCTGTCACATGTGTGGTTGGTTAGTCGTTCCCGAAGGAGTTCTTTCACTATCGGCTTGAAAGGCCTTCCTTGTTCCTCCAACACACCCTTGAATACGAGCTTTGTTGTCTCAAGGCACCGTGCTAGTGGACTAGTGTAAAGGGTTTCGGGGACAGGGAAGCCCATGTTTTTGACGCCTTCTGCGAAAAAATCCCCGAGCGCTTTCGCTTGCTCTACTCCCTCGTCAACCAACTCTGCGTCGTACCAGGTTCGATTTCCGTCCCCGTCTAATTTGGACCAGTGTCTCTGCGTTGATGTTAGCTTTGCTGTTATAAGCATTTAAAATGCAAGGCTAGCAAGACTGCGCTGATTCACCTTCCATTCAGCTGAGCCAACCTCGTCCATCACAACATTATGGACGCCGCGGCCATGCCGCACGACCAGTAATACTTTGTATGACGTGCTGGGATCTGCCTTGTCATTCAAGCGTTGAACGTAGCGAGCAAACCCGCCCCAGCCTCGACTCTCACCCAGCGAGCCATCGTCGCTCTCATAGACGACGTCGAGCAGGCCAAGGTTGGGCTGCGTTGTCAGTTTGGATTGAGCACATGCGCGAGAGGCCTCGACATGGTCGATGAACCAGGCCGCTTCGGATGAGAATTGATAACCGCAGGTTGAATTCGAAGTCATGGTGGGCGCAAGCAGCCAGTGCAGTCAGTGCCTGGCATGCATGGAGAGAAACAGCGGCGAAGTACGGCTGCAAAACAAAACTTGGCGAGAAAGATGAAGAACGGGCAACGGAAAACGTGGAGATCTCAAGGTTGAGTAGTCATTCGGCACAATTGTGACAGACTATCACCTCTTTCGCCCAAATAATCAGTGTAGAAAAAACACTTGCATTTCCCCTCACCAACCAGCCAATCAAGAGGCGTCTTGCTGATGTGTTGTCAGCCCGAGACGTCTTTCGTAATATGCCACCGTTCCCTTTCCCTCCAAGCCCTTCCAAATTCACGCAGCACTTATGGATACTTGACGTTTTATTTTCTTTCTTGTCTTGGCTTTATGACGCTAGTTCCTGAAGCATCCCATTACCAAGACAAAATATCAGTCAAAGCCTGTCACTCCACACGTACTCTAACACTGACCAACAAATGACGACTCTTGACTATTCTGATGTTCCCCTCGGGCCAAATGAAATCCGTCTGGTCTCACTAGAAATCTCGGCCGAAGACGTCGCTCAGGCCAAATGGAAAATCCGGGTTGCAAACTTGGCTGATGAGTCGACCAGCTACTACGCCGTGTCGTATAGATGGGGAGCACCTCTCCTCGAGGGCCGCTTCAAGACTATGACCAACGAGCCCGTCTCGCCGGTCCAGTTCAACAACAGCGTTGTGAAGGTTACCGAGAATCTCTACGACTTCTTGGATCAAGTAAAGTCTGATGAACAGTTGAAAGAGAAAGAGTTCTGGATTGATGCTATATGTATCAATCAAAGCGATCCCAAGGAGCGAAGCCACCAAGTCAGCACCATGATGGCCCGAATTTACCGGTCAGCGACCTGCGTTATTGCGTGGCTTGGAGACGCAGACTTGCACACGGAGCGAGCTTTCGACCACTTGAGTAAACTCGCTGAATCCACGACCCTGCCACCACCAGTCGGAACGAAAAGGTCGTCGACCAATCAGAGTGACTCAGTGGACTTTGACAGTTACCAGTCCTCCTGGAAATCAACTGCCAAGCTTTTCGAGCGGACGTATTGGAACAGATCCTGGATCATCCAAGAGCTCGTGTTGCCAGATAAAGTCACTGTGCGCTGCGGAAAGTATTCAGCAGACTGGAGCGTTCTTTCCAAAGCATCCCACAACATCTCTACGAGTACTTGGAGAGAATTCTTCTTCAATGAAGCTACGGGGATAGGATCACTTGGGTCAGATGCGAAGACGGCTCGCATACCGCAACGTAATTATGGTATTCCCACCATTCTCAAGGCAACGAAGGCATCGATGGCAACAGAACACTGGACAAATGTTCTCTTGTACACGCTTATTAGGTCCCGGGATTTCGAGGCAACCAATTGGGAGGATAAAGTGTATGCTCTTATGGGACTCATCGAAGATTCTGTCGACATTGGGAAAACGCCGCTTTTGCGTCCTGAATTTGGAGAGGATTCCAGCGCGGCACAGACGTATCTCAAAACCGCGATTCAACTTCTCCGCGATTGCGAGGAACTTCTTATACTCTCCTGCGTTGAGGGCAGATCCTTCCAAAAGGTCAAGATCAATGGCGATACTCTCCCATCCTGGGTGCCCGACTGGAGTGAGCATGCACGCCTCGGTCTTGGAGTTACTGGGTACAAGAGATATTCTGCAGACGCGTGCTTCGTCCCGCCTGGTACTCATCTCCTTCGGGAGGAGAAATTAGCTAGATGGCCTGCAGTTGTCAACGAAGAAAGCCTCACCGTTTCCATTGGTGGCCTCAAAGTCGACGAAATTTCATTTCGCGCAGAGCCAAAGCGCGATATCCAAAAGGGGGAGCCGTTTCCACGACTTTTGAGCATGCTGCTGTCCCTCCCAACCCGGTATCAGACGACGGAAGAAGACCTATGGGAGGCGTTTTGGCGAACTCTCATCGTCAATACTGGTAAAGACTGTCTCGCCCCTCCAAAACAGTCTTTTCTCGGCCCGGGCTTTGCGAAATGGTTTCGAGGGAAAGTTAACTCAGTGAAGATGTCCGAAGGAGAAGGTCGGCAGTGGAATGAACTAAAGCAACGGTTCGATGAATTTTGTGCAGGGGACAGAGGATGGAAAGACCTGTCCACCGCATATAACTCCGCTCCGGCTCGCGGGCTTCCCAGTTCTGCCGTAGCTGAGTACGGGACACTCTTTTCACATGGGCAGCACTTGCGACCTTTTCTAACAGAGAAGGGACACCTAGGATTAGGATCAGAGAACCTGCAAGAGGGAGATACCGTCTGGGTAGTGCCGAGGTCTCGGGTACCTTTGATATTCAGGCGGGTGAAGGATGCTGGTTCAGTGGCTAATTATCATTGTGAGTTAGTGGGTGGTGCGTATGTTCATGGATTCATGGACGGTCGAGCGCTTTTAGCAGCAGCATCGAGGGATGGCGTACGTCTGAATGACGCAACCAAAACCATTATAATTCATTAAGGCAAACAAAACGGTAAGAACTGAGTGGGAGTTGCTTTGGCTGCCGACATTCGATAGTTCCCGTCAGTTGTTGGAACTATTGGAGAGCTAATTCAAATTACATATTGGGTGTTTTAAGATAGCCATAATTAAGTTATTCGTCCTCTTCTTCAGGAAACAAAATATAGAAAATCTGGAAAGTACCAGTCCGTCCGTCGAGGGTGGTCACTCCTCGCGTGCATCTATCTTGCAACCCGATGATGCGGTTCGGACCGTGATGTGTTCTCAAAAGTTGCCTATACTACTTGCCTTAATTAAGCACTACCCGAGACATTGCTGCAGTTGCGAACCAGTAAGTAGAGAACATGACACTCACTCGAGGTACAGAGAAGAACATCCCGTACCGTTCACAAGAGGAAAGCCTTTTACTTCTCTGTACGCCCCATTTTCATCGCATATTGACGCAATCGCCCCCTCGATTTGCTTTATGACAAGCGCTGTATCATGCGAGTAATCATGACGCTCAGCCTGTCATAAATGATACATCCCCCACTAGAGTTGGGCAAGTTCAGGTTCCTGATACGTGCAATATTCTCCGACTGCTCCTCAAGTTTAAGAGTCGAGGCTCTTCCACATTTTCAACGCGCTTTAAATTGATTACGTCTCATTATACATTAAGTCATAGCTAAGGGTTCGTGTATCATTTCCCGTGTACAAGAATAATAAAAACATTAAAAGATGATCGCGCTTAGATTCCAAAGTCACACATTCTGGTGAACTCGCCAATCCGCAACACGATTCCATGTCTCAGCTCAACGCCCAGGCGGCGAGCACCTCAGGCTGTCTTACGACAACAGCATGAAGCTTCGTCACCAATTCCCATCTCGCCTCGTACACGTGGTAGTGGTGCAGCCACTGATCGAATCCCTGCCCACCAAAGTCCGAGAGCGACCCCTCCTCCTTGGCCGCCATCTGATCCCACGCGCTGCGGAGCTCATCGTGGGCAGACTTGTACACCGGGAGGGTCTTGGGATTGATGGGACCCGGGATGCTGGGCTCGTGCTTGCGCAAGATCTCCTCAAACCGGGCCTGGTAGTCCAGAGGGATGTGCTTGAGATTCGACCGGACCGTCTCCCAGCCGCTAAAGAGGGCGAACTCGGCCGAAGACACCTCGGACCTCATCAGCTTCTTGGCCCAGCTAGAGAGGACTCTAGCCAGGCCATCGACACCGTGCTCCTCGACGAAGCAAGAGTTGCACCGGAGCTTGTCCATGACCGACCTGGTCAACTTGGTGTCATCCCAGTTCCAGGCGCAAAAGTCAGGCTCCTCATTGGCATATATAGGCACCCAGCGCGAGTTCTTGGTGCCGAGGCGGAATGAGCGCATCTCCTGCCACTCGGCGCACCCCGGGCAGCGTATCATGCGCGTGGGCCAGAACTGCTTGGAACGACTGGAGCCGCCAGCGACGACTTGAGAGAGGGGTCCAAGCCCCACATGCTCAGCGAGTCCGGGGAAGAAGCGGTCTCGTGACGAGGCGAAGGCGAGGCCCCTGCTGGGCTGGATGGGGACGGCGGGGGTGCCTCTCTCGCGGGAGTTGGCCTTGCCCAGCTCCTGGTTCTGGAAGCGGCACTCGTTGCACCTGCGGAGATGGCGTTTGCTGCCCCAGCGCTCATCGGCATCGGCGGCAAGTAAGCTGTCGATATCATCATCTTGCTGTGCCCCGTCCTCCTTGGGCTGGTGGAATCGCCGTCCCCAGCGCTTGCGAGGAGCGCCCCAGTCGGTGATGGGGTCGGCGGCACGTGAGCCAGCAGCAGGTTTGCGATAGCCAAGACGCATGAGGCTGTGATTGTCAAAGGATTCGTGAGGGAGGAGGCGGAGGCAGCTGGTGCAAGCCCAGCGATCACTCGTTGTGCAGCGATCGCGCATGGAAGCGAATTGCATCCACGAGGAGAAATCGAATTGGCTCAGGCCGCCTCCATGCTCCTCTGTGCACTCGAGCTGTAAGAGACGCTGGACGATCTCATGGCGCCCCGGCTGGATGAGGCGGCGGAAGTAGGTGTCTGCCTGACTGAGGGAGACGAGGGTGGCGGGGTCGAGGAAGCTGATGCTGAGGCACTGCAGCTCGACGGGCAGGGAGAGGATGTCAAAGGTTTGTGCCATTGTCAATGAATTACAATCTATAAAGATCTAATTAATCTGGTCTGAGAAGAGGGCAGAGGCTCTTGATATCTGCAACGGCTCTCACCATGGCAGCTTGGATGCGGAGAGAGCTTTCGAAAAACGACCCACAGACTTTCCACTGTTCCCGAGCGCGTGATCACTCCCATTTTTACAGCCGATTCCAAACTCTAAACGCCCCATTTAACCTCTCTGTGGAATGGCTGCCCGCGGCGGCATACCCTTTCCATAACATCCGAGCAGAGGGATTGCCCCTTTGGGCAGCCCCAACGACGGGCTTCGTGGCATCTTACCCACCGATCAACACGCCCTGAACCCCTATTCCTGCTATTCTGGTGCTATTCCTGTGTCTATTCCGTGACTCTGCCTGTCCCCGATGTCGTGAGTGTCAACCATCGCAGGATCGGTAGGACATGACGGTTCTGTCGCAGGCGACTCATCACATGACCGTGATCGCCGCCGCGACGAGGCAATCATGACGCACAGGATCGCAAAACTAAGATATTCTATTTTATCCCGATGCTGCCCAGATCATGACTCTACTACAATGGCCGCCCAAAATCCAGTCAATTGCGCCATCCTCATCTTCACAATCGCATCTTACGAGAAGCCCTCCACACCACAGCCCACCACCCTTCGCTTGTCCCTTGCCACCTTCTGGACCAGGAACATGCAGCCGACAACGGGCAGCTCCCCACCACTTCTGCATGCTATCAGCTGTCACTGGATGACACCACCTCAACTGCGGGGATCGTGAAAGAAGCTTCCGATGGTGGTTGGGCGGTCCACAGCGCCTGCATCCCCTAGCCCCGTCCCCTAGCTCCAGGCCCCAGGGGACCAATGCACGTCTAAGCGACCGCTGCAGAGCCTGGAACCGCTGTAAACTGGGGCCGTCGGAACCACCGGCGCCAACAACACATTCATGCTGATTGCAGATAACATTGAATTGAACTGGTCTACATCTTGGACCAGGCGCTGCACCATTGATTGATCATCTGATGAGTCATATTACATGTCAACGTAGAATAGTGTCAAGGGCTCGCACGAAACAGACATACCTGGCATCCGGAGGTGGAAAATTATCAAACTCATCCTAAACTACACGATCTTGACACTATAAAGCGAGCCTGGTTCCGTCGGATCCAACACATGATCATGGTGTGCCAACCCGATCCTCTCAAAAATTGGCTCTCCATCCTCCTCGTCCACGACTCGAAAACAGAGCGAAAATTCATAATCCGAACCCCTACTTGAAACCGCCTTGCCAAGCCGCAAACAATAGACCTAAGCCCCGGGATGAGTTCCAGTTCGCACAGCTCGAGATTCACATCCAACTAGACAAGCAGGGGGAGTCTATAAGGCTCGCCACGGATATAAATCTCCACGCCACGGGAGTGAAGCACGTTGTTCTTGTCCGGGCGCTTCTGTATGAACCCCGCTACCGTCAGGCCTTGGACCCTGACATAGGCGTCGCGCAGCTCGCTGTTCGGATCCAAGCCAAACGGTTTGACCTTGGCCTCGAGGAGCCTTGCGTAGGTATGCCTTGGATCCAAATCTAGCCATGAGGGGAAGCACTCTACGACAGAAGCCCAGGACCACCTCGGCGCTCTCCGTCGTTTCTGTCGCGTTTTTGGGATTCTCTCGTTAATCCATATCAAATCATTCAGGTTGCTGGTCTTCAAGTCTAGCCACAGACCTGCGCAATACGTCGAGCCTCCCCAGCAGTGGCTCAGCGTTGCGTAACTTCACATCGGCATGCTCTTCATCGGTCACTCCAAGATCCAGAATGCGGGTAGGCAGCGAGACGGTGGATGAGACTAAGCAAACTTCGTGATCTTTGTTACAGGTGTTGATCCAGTCGCTCAGTTGCTGGAAAGTCTCGGGGCAATATGTATTTGGGCGCACTTTGGGATGATAAGGAACTGGGAGCCACTGGTAGGGTTGGTCTTGTGAGAACAACAAGGTAGAAAGTGTCCATTCACACCGTAGTATTCAGTAGACAGAGACAGCTGTACCCGCATCGCGAAAGAACTGAAGACCCACGGGCCGGACACTCATTTCACCCTTCCGCAGCTTTCGCTGAATACTACATGATATTCCGTTGTCGGTCTGTTAGGAAGTTGCACAGGAGCAGTGGTTGGTTTCGTGCTTGGTGTTGAAAAATGAGCGGGTTAGGATGAGAAACTTCTCTCCACTACGAATTTGAGCAATAACCTCGTTAGTTAGGGTAGTATTGACATCCTAGCGAGGGATACGACTTCTAAAAGCCAACACTCATCGCCTCTCAATTTCCACATGAGATTAGCCTAGCCAAGGTAGCTATGTAGTTATCGCAAGTTACACTTATATCGTTTTGTAGGCCATTGAACAACTCAGCCAGTTCATGAGGCTCGGTTTGCCCAATATCAATGCTAATGAATACAGAATACACGATTAACGTTGAGAAGATTAACATTTGCAGTGAATTTAGTGGACTTCCCTCACATATTTCTCTCCGCCTTTGCCTCGGTCCCAGACTTCGTGTATGCTTCGCCTCAACAGTTCCACCCAGGACGAAGTCCACAGCCTCACACACACCGCCGCCAAGAATTTAGGAAACTCACCAGTCTAAGCCTTGATGAGTACTCGTCATGGCCGTGGCGAAATAAAAATCAAACTCCGAAGCTCTGTAGATATTTCCCTCGGCCGAGGGCAGATGGATCCCGTCCTTAGTCTTTTTTATACAATCTAGGGTGTGGTATATACTGAAAACAAAACTTGAAACTAGATCAACAAGCAATAGAAACGGATCCTAATAACTCTGAATCAAGATGATGCAATTGCTAATGTCCGCCCTGCTGCCAGACATTTCCTCTCCCGGCCAACAATATATTGCAACCTGGAGGACCTCATGGTGAGCTGACCTGCTCAAACCATCTACCCCCACCACGACCACCGGAACCCAGACTTCTCCTCCCAGGGAATGCTATCCCACCTCGTGCTCTCCAGGCACTCGGAGGACTGCTGGACCGGGTACGCCCGCTCCACCTCGAACTCCATCACCCCCAGGTTCTGGTGCAGCCGGGCCGTCCTGCGCACCTTCTTCTCGAACTGGTAGATGTTCCAGGCGCCCAGCGGCCACGTGAACCACGGCGCGAGGGCCAGGATCTCCAGCAGGGCGGGACGCGGCTCGCCCTTTGCGTTCCGCACGCGCCAGGGGGACCAGTTGCGGTAGTAGGGCAGCTTGTACAGCGAGAGGTAGAAGATGCGACCAAGCAGCGCTCTACAAAAGAGGAAGAAAAAGAGGAACCATATTGTCAGACCCGCGTTTTTAATGTAACGTAAAAGGGGACATGCATATGCACGCTGCGCAGAACTTACAAAATGGGACCGAGAAACCATTTCAGCCACCTCTTGTCATCGAGCTTCTTCTGCAACTGCGAGGTCAGCGATGTGAGCAGGCGGATGTGTCTCAGCAGCGCGGCCTGGGACATTTCCAGCTTCGAGGTGTGCGGGTTGCCCGGGTCGCCTAAATTTGGGTCAGTCAGCAGCCGGCAACTCTAAACGGGCGGGAGTTTCACCCGACGGAGCGGACGGGATGGAAACTCACCTGGTGGCGGGCGGATGTGCGCGGAGCTCGCCTGGAGCTCACGGTAGCTCTCGAGGCGCGTCAGGATAGCGGCTCTAAGGTCGTGAGCTGCCATTCCGGGCATCAGATTCGGGACCGGGTCCTCGAGGGCCGAGGTCGGACGATATTCTGCCATGGCGAAAATGAGATGCGAATTGATTCGTATGTTGTGCAATGGGTGCTGAAGCTGGGGGGGCTCGTCGCTCCCGCCCGGTTGCTGCTCTGTTGTCTCGTCTCAGCCAAAGTTGGGAAGAAATTAATGTGAGGCTGGGCGCGAGCGGTGAGTAATGTGGCTGGTGCTCGAGGGTCTGTGCGAGTACTTGTTGTCGCACCATTTGGGAGCTGGACATCGGGTACCAAAAAGTTCCGCACCAGCCTCCACAGCCACATGGGGCCATCGGTAAACATCGGTGAGTCGCGATTTAGAGCTACCCTGTATCCAGATTACCACCAACCTATCTACCGGTAGACAAACATTATCGACGGGAAGAAATTACTCGTAAGGGGAAGGAGAGAGAGTCCGACAATGTCTCAATGAATGTAAAGTTAGAAGATCCTTGAGGTTTGGTCATGCCATTTTTAATGGGCGGTCGTGAAGGTTCAGATCTTTTCCTCGGAGGCTTGAAAACAAGATTAAAACGCGAGACTTGTAAACCAGGTCAGCAAAAACTGGACTTCATGGAGAATTCTTTTTTACGTGAGAAAGAGCGAGCAAGTGATCTAGGTAGGGACAACTTATTTCTTGAGACAAATTGAAGTTTTCTTGAACATGCAATATTAAATATAGATCAATTAGTTAATCGGTATGAGGAGACGAAGGTCGGCTTTCCAGCGAGGACTGTTTATAAAGTGACGGCACTCAGATATTTGAACAGGGTATTGACCAGCATGACACACATTTTCAACCATGATTAAGTTATGATTCGTTAGAAAGTTTTGCAGTTATAACGCCGTTAATATCTTGGCGCCTCGTAGGCTAGAATAGAAAGAGAAGTTTAGTAAGTGCTCGATGAGATTTATATTTACTTATACTTCGAAGAAATGGCCGAACGCAGAGGGACATGTTGGAGCCCTTTCTCAGCCGGTGATCCATAAATATGAGGAGACTGAGGCCTAGGCCTTTGGGCTGGACCGGACAAGATCCATTGTACTCTCCCCTTGGAGCTGGTTTCGGCTGGTTCAGCACCAGTTTGAATGCCCTATTGTTAATGTTTACTACGAGAGAGCAGATGCCGTGAATTTAGGACATTCGCTGCTATTAGCATACACTTTGCTGCGAAATTGGCCCTTAGCGCATGTATAGATAGATCAGGGCCGCATGCTTGGTGTCAACGTTCCTCTTCCGGTTAAGACTAGAATGCTAATAGGAAGAGAAATGATCGCTTGATCAAACAGGTTGTTAAAAATAAGGAGTATCTGGATCTCGACCAGTCAGAGACAACGCCATTTTCGACAAATACAGCCGTTGCTCCTCCCGGGTCCGTGGCAAGTTTCCCCAATATTTATCCAAATACCGAACCAAATCAAGCACATATTCTTTCTCCTCCAGATTGGCGATTTCGTAGGTCGCGAAAATAGGTGCTGTTGGGAAAGGCCCGGTCATGGCATCTAGAGACTGAAGATACGGCCCACACTTCCAAACCTCCAAGGCAGCTTCTCGGAGCCTAGCGTGTAACGTTTTGCTTGCCTCGCCATGTAGAATGGTATGAGTCTCTTGCATGACTGTAAGAGCCACCAGTTGGGTATACAGCTGGACCATGTATAACAAGCATAACAAAGGCCACGAGAAGTGGTATCTCGTCTCCAGAAAGTGATCATCGTCCATGGGCAATATCACCATGTGGCCTTGTTTGAGACCACCTTGAGCCAGCCTATTAGACAGCTGTGTCATGGTTTTCTCCATCTCACTGAGGTCTTTATTCCAATATGTGAACTTCAACTTGTTCTTGGAGTCCGGCTCTCTAAGCCAGGACTGGAACTGGGACACTCGTGCATTCAGATGGATGCAGCATCCAGAGAGTGCCGCCAGATCCTCGAGTGCTAATGGTTGCATTAGTGAAGCCTTTTCTTGCGCTTTGGCAACTCTGGCAAAGGCTTCTTCCCACGGCACCACCTCCTGGGATTCATCGTTTTCTTTCACTGTCCAACCAAACATCTATAACAACGATCTGGCGTTAGCATTATGGAGGTTTTCTCGGAAGGACACACATATTTCTACTTACTGCCTGCTGGTGAAGGTCACGACAGAGGGCAACATCTAGCTCGTCGTTGGCATCTATTCTGCCAATAGAGCCTCGCTGGCGCATAATTTGCAATGCGGCTTTGTAATGGATATTCCCGGTCCTACCCCATCGGTCCAGTAAGCTCGAGGAACGTTCTATTATCGCCACGGCAGCCAGCGTCTCCGCCTTGAGAGCCTCGCCACCGACCAACGCCATCCTCAGACTCTTTAAAGCCTTGCCGTACTGCGGAAATGCTAGGACGGCCCCCTGGGGATATGGATTCTGAAAGTCCACCAAGGCTCTGCAGAAGAAGTCCACAGAGTCTCGCAGGCAGGTGCTCTCTGCCAGCCGCTTCGGCAGGTGTGTGGCAAAACTCAAGTTGAGACACCCGATCTTCTTCAGCCCCGTCTCCAGATGCGCGACCAAGCGCGAGACAGAGCGATCCCCCTCCGTTGGCGAGATGGGTCGGGGAATCACTACCATGCCTTGCTCACCGCCAGCTTCGGCAGCACCGCGAGCTCCACGGCGCTGCAGGCTGCGCCAGACACTTGCGGCGCCGTGCTCATTTGAGGTGGTGGCCCGGGTCTTCTTCTTCCCCGGCGCTTCAAAGCTCAGGAACTTGAGCAGCTGCGTCGGGCCGGGGCACAGCAGCTTGGATTTTCTGCAGTTGGCGCAGGCCGGCCACGTTTCGTCGCACTGCAGCTGAGTCAACACTTGGCCTCGCCTCACCACACGGTCGGGTACGGGACATCGGCTGGACGGGACTGACCTTGATCTTCCGGAGCTTACAGGTCTGGCACCCCTGTGTCTTGGGAACGCCCGGCATCGCTGGACGGGTGAGAGGTTCGCGGAGAAGATGGCTTTGCTTCGCGTGGTTGGGTGGTTCGATAATAAGCTCGGGAGCGTTGGAGACGGCGAGTTCCTGATGGGGAATCGTGTTTTGTAAACTTGCTTGGCACAACATCAGCACAGCCCACAGCTGGTGGTTGTACAATAAAACGCTAATGTAACCCTTTGGCTGGGGTTATCTGCTTCCTCCAACGGCAGTGTCTGCTTCAGGGCTTCCCCTGCATTTCCCACCCCTACTTGGACAGGCCAAGCTCCAGGCTGGCCAGTGTTCTGTCGTCTGACTGCTACGCTTATCCCTTTGAAGTTTGGCGGTCATGTCATCCATCAGGGTCAAGCTTCGTCACGATTCATCCTTCACTGCCAAATCTTGGCTGAGAAAGGTTGTTGGAGGAAGTTATGCCTGATTCTGTACCTTTGGCCCCCACAACGAGACCCCATGTTCAGTAATCAATTCAATCCCTCTTTTTCGAGTTTCTACAACTCGGTTCTCGCCACTTAAAGGGACTCATGTATGGTACCTATGCTCCTGTGGACTTCCCGCTAGCCTGGAATAGAATCATTCCGCCGAAAGCACGGAAGTGAATGTTCGACCTGAATTGGCTGCACAAGCCATCCACTTTCTCTAATACAATTACCCAGAATAGTAACTAAGCAAGTCAATTTTTTTTTTTTTTTTTTTTTTTTTTTTTTTTTGCAACAGAGCACAAAATCCAGGCCGTTGAACGTATTTAATTAGATATTGAAGGCAAATTCAAGTCACTCAAGCAAGAGGGATAGCGACGATAAAAGTGTTAGATGCAGAGGAGCGGCAAGCAGGAGAAGGGTACACGGAGCGTGAAAACCTATGGATATTTTTAAATACACGTCGACTATGTCTATGACACTGTCATCGTGCAGCTCGTACCGCAAGTCTCACAGGAATAGCCATACTGCTCGCATTGAGCTGTATCCAGACATCATTATCTTATTATCATATGAAAGTGCACAGAACTCTGCGCATTGAGAATGCTCGTACCCCGGAGCCTAAGATCCTTTGGTTGTCATATAGAAAAAAACAAGAACATTTTGTAAATGCTCTTGGTCTTACACGCCTTACTAAGGGCGCTGTCCGACACGGCTCGCTTGACTACCGGAACTGTCAAAGACAACATGAAAAGGGGCAGAATGTCATGTAAATTATCGAAGATATCGTACTTTAGGAAAATTAGAGAGAACCTAGAGCGAACCTAGAGAGGGAAATCGCATACAAGTATATATATTACTCGGTGGGTTTCCACCATCAAGGTGGTCCCTCTCTCATACGACAATATGAAAGCTCGAAGGAGGTCATACATAAGAAAAGAAGATAAAGTTTAATAACAATAAAGCTGCCAGGGTTCGGACAACTCAATATAGTGAATACGACAAGCTTAAAATATAGCCTTTCCTAGTATACCCAAGGCGTTATACGGCTAGAAAATTCTATAAACCTTCGTACTGATGACTTACTTGCCGTCAGGACAGCGTCGTCGAATAACTAAATACTGGCTCTTTCACCTGGCTTCCACTCGTTTTACACCAATCCAACCACATCAACCAATCCAAACACTTGAGCCAAGCTTGAATCGACCAACCTAGTAGGTACCACTAGCCCGGGGGCCAGGGCACTTACCCTGACACCTCCGCAGCCTGCTCGAAGCAGGTCATGAAGCCAACATTGAGCAACGCAGTATCGCTGTATATATATCTTTTGGTATCAATGATATATATGTCTCGACTTCATAAACCCTTCCTTTGAGGGATTGGGCAACGCTGGAGCCGTGGAGACCTAATAAGATCACCTGACTACATTCCATGGGCAAGATCCTCTTGATATGCAATCGGCTGTTAGAAGATCGAAACTACGCAGGAAAAGTAAGTCTAGTTTAAAGAAATAAGCCTTCTTTGGACAGGAGGCAGCGGTTGCGTGGTTGCATTGCCGCATCGGCCAATTGCTCAGCGCTCGCTCTTCGTATCTTGGAAATACGGGTTGCAGAGAGGGCCCCTCGTCCATTATATAACCTAATTGATTGAGGTAGGTTTTGCTGATATCATTGGGACCAAAATGTTGCTGAATACTGTTAAGACTTCCAAAGCCAGCCTGCTTGTGAATTCTAGCTGCCTCATCGAAGCCCAAGACTCGTTCGATGTAGCGGCAGGACGTACAAGGACCTTGCTGCGAATATTTCCTAAGACTCGTAATTCTTCAGATTCTGAGGAACCTGAACTGCCGGGCGGAGAGGTGAGCCATATCTGGGGTGAGAATGGATGGTTGGCGGGCAGCAAGCAGCGTAATCGATCTTTTGCAACGATGTTTACATTGCGTGCCTAAATCGCGCGAGACTTCACCCAGGATCCAACCTTGTGATAGAAAAATCCCAACAATAGGTGTCTAGAGAATTTCTTATGGCCGTATTCGGAGGCATTTCTCAAGTTTTTTAAGTGCGTTCTTGTCTCGCTCCGTCGATAGCAACGTATTTGCTGTTGTGAAGTTCACATTGAATTTAGTCGCAATGAACGATGTTGAACGAAGAAGGCATAGAGAGAGAAGAATATTTACCTAGAAATACTGAGGTTCTCCTCACGATGCACGGAACGGATTCCCCGTTCAACTGATAGCATTGGTCAAGTCCACAGCCCAAACATTGCCAATACGCGTCTTCTCGAGCTCGTTAATAAAAAGGCTACGAATTCAAGTTGCTGGTCCCGACTCTCCTGCGGCTAGATCCATAAGGGCGATGTTGCCATCTACGACGGCCATTATTTGAAGGCCCCAACTTTCAGCTATTCCGTCTTTTACCAGCTTCATTCGGTGGCTGTTAACCCTCCCGGAATCAAAATCGACGGTGATGAACAATGTTCTATTCAAACCCATTCATTCTCATGATACCTACACATATGTTTGCTCTCTAACTTAACCCTGGCAAAAATATGAGTGGGTGAGACACTCCACAGTCCTCCGAATCTCCTTCAGATCCTCCTTTTGAATGGGAAGCAGACTAATAAAATGATAGTGGTTAGAATGCACTGTGTGCTGATCTCTGTTGCTCGAGCTGCTCATTCTGGGCGGCAAGAGGGCATCTAGAGAAGGCAACTTCTGTTTATGGGTCTACGATCCCCGCTGATTCATTCAATACTTCGCAAACAACGGGAATGACGATCGCAGGAGTGCACAAAGCGAGAGTGACTGATGGTCGTATTGGATCTTTTGTAACTAATCAAATGTTCAAAATTTTCGGATGAGGCAGTCCCTAGACGAATGTAGCTCAACCCTACTCGCCTCGAATGTCCGTCGATGGCTGAAGCAAGGTGTAGCTACTGCCATTCCTTGAAGTTTGGGACGACCTCCTCGAGTTTGCAAAGAAAGGATGGCTATATTTGGTTGATTAAGGGTCTCAATAAGCATACGTATTCATTATTTAGAAAAGAATCATCCTGTGGCTAATGATCATGCGCGCTAGGAGACGGAGCCACCGCGAGAATGAGAATACCGCGTCGTGTTCGCTATTCCTTTAGAACAATGAATTAATCTTTCCAGTCTCAATCACGCGATGAAGAAAACAAATGCCGTGAAGTACAATATATCTTATTCTTTATGTACACTAATGTTAATTCTTTCAGTTTTAAGGCCACTTCATCAACGTGATGAGTGGAACATGCATCGACCCCTTCTCCAGAATGTATACGTCTCTAGATGCCCAAGATCCGGCTAGAAGCTTCCTTTAGCTGGTATCAAACCCCAGATGCCGAATGCTAGGTTCATTAGATCACAGGATATATCTGAATCCAGCAGCAACCTGAGCCGCAGTAGGCCCATGCTTGCCACCATCCTCACCACGGTCGAGCATCACGTTCTGGCGACGGAGGTAAATGCGAGCGGCGAAAGCAAAGACAATCGCGAGACCGGTCGCAGCAACATTGACGATGAAGGCAGTGGTGTAACGCGGAGCCCCGTAGTAGAGGTAGCTGCACCAGATGTTGGGGGTGTTGCAGAGAGCGTTAATGAAGGCGATGGCGCTGGCTCGCTTGGCGGTTGGCTGGGACAGGGAGCCGGTTATCCAAGACAGGGTCACGATGGCGGATGAGTAGAAGGAGGCGGGCAGCAGCATCATGGCGACGTATCTAGCAGCAATGTTGAGAGAGGAGACGGCGATGATGTTGGCGACGAGCGTGATGAGGAGGGCTCCGATGATGTGATAGCCTCGCTCGCGGGTGCGGTCAGAGTGGAAACCGTTGACCAGCATGCAGATGACGCAGAGGAGGAAGGGAGGCGCCGTGAGGAGGTAAGTCATGTTGCGGCTGTATCCCAGGCCACCGACAACGCTGGGGAAGAAGTTGGAAACTGCGCCGACGATATAAGTCTGGAACAAACGCGATTAGCGGCGAGTTGGCACTTGGGAGAGTAGTGAAAATACTTACGCAGTAAAGCACGCCAGTGAAGAGCCAAGTCTTGGGATCCTTGACAGCCATCACCAGTCCCTGCATAGCAGTGATCTCCTGGGAAGCGTCGTCTGACTGGCCCAGGTCTTGAGCATAGTTCCACTGAATCCACTCGCATTCCAACTTGGAAAGGCCCAAGATCTTCTTATTCGAGTTGGGTAGAATGAACGCGAAGATGATAGCCAATCCGACGGTAATGACTCCCTCGACGAGGAAGAGCTGTTGAGAGTTAGCTGGGTGTCCAAGAGCTTTTTCGAGGATATACGTACCCAGCGCCAGCCAGCAAGACCGTGGGCTTTGTCAAGATTCAGGATGGCAATGGCGAAGAGACCGCCGAAAGCGTTGCCCAGCTGGGATCCACTGTAAAGGATGGCAGTTCGAAGAGCAAACTGCTTGCGGTTGTAGAACAGGGAGAGGAAGTACAGGGCACCGGGGAAAAAGACAGCTTCGATTGCCCCGAGGAAGATACGGGCAACTATAAGTCCCGCAAAGTTGTGTACAGAGGCCATGATGGCGGAGATGGCTCCCCAAAGAGCCATACTGATGCAGATATAGAGACCAGGCCACTTAATTCGACTCGCGATCATGTTGGAGGGGACTTGGAACAGGACTGCGCATCAAACTGTCAGCATTGAACCAGGGGTCTCTGGGACAAAGAGCGATTGTCCGCCTGGGAAAGCTTACTGTAACTGCAGAACAGGATACTGACAGCCGTCTGATATTCGACGGCAGATAATCCCAAATCGGTGTCGATGCCTGCGAGCTTCGCGCTAGCAATGTTCTGGCGATCGAGATAGTTGAGGATGTACATGATGACCAAGACGGGCATGACAACAATGTCCATCTTGAGCGTTGCCCGCTTGCCGAGCTTCTCGCGCTCATCTTCGGAGAGGGCAGCAATGTCCTCGGGCATACGCGTTGACTCGTCCACGGCCTGGGCCTTGAGGTCGTGAACAACCTCGGCCTCCTCGGCGAGCGCGTCGTGTTTTTCGCTCATGTTGGGTTCCCGGTACGGAAATAGCAAGGGAGTAAAAGCGTAGAAGGAATGAGTTTGCAAGACTCGCAAGGAGGATGCTTGTGGTTGAATCTGAGACTGCTGGCGAGGAGGTGCTGAGACAAGGGAGAGGAAAGAAGGCTGGGAGGAGGTCTTAAATGTTTTGGTGCAAGTTTGATTAAGGCTGCCAGAGTCTCTCGGGAACACTCCGTGGAACTGACACAGAACACGGTTTGGCGCTACGGCGCAGAGCTTTTGTTGGCTAAGGATATTGGTCTGGGTCCGGGGAAGGGCAAACAGGGGCTTCCTTGGATCCGTTACCCCAGGTCCAGTCGCCACAGCAGCAGAGACGACCCCCACGCTCAACGAACCCCGTATCGTCTCCCCGCAAGTACCAGCTCTCGACGGTTCTGCGGGGAATCTCGAGGGCGTGGGGGTTCACTTGACCGAGTCATCGCGGAGCCTACGCACCCAAGGGGACACTAGGATGTCACCAGACTCTGTCAATGCAGTGGGTATGTCTGGACACCTCCATCAACCAAGCAAGCCAGCATAGACAAGCGCTGACGAGTGGGGATCCTACGACGCCCGCATAGGAGAAGCTATGAGCGATTAGTGCCCAAGTCCACTAGCAACCCTTGACATGCCTCGGATCAGGGCTGGCCAATCGAAGAGAGGTGGTATCCAGGGAATGTGGCCAGCATTTGGAGACGTGGGGTAGGGGGAAATGAAGGATCCTGCTCTCCGAACCCGGCGGTCAGGTAACCTTGACTGCTATTCGAACGCATTTATTATGAGCCATAGTCACCAAAGACGCTGGAATGTTAGAAAATCAGTGGCAGTTGTCCTCCTGGTCTAACAATTGACATATCTAATTCTACTTTACTCATTTCCCCCTCATCCGCCAATATGGTATCTACTACCAAGAAGGATACACAGAAAGGGGGTGAGCTGGCACCATATCCCTCCCTGAACAACATCGTCAGTGTCGCAGACTTTGAAAAAGTGGCCGAGAGGTACCTATCGCCTGCCTCATGGGCATACTACTCATCTGGAGCGGACGATGAACTCTGCATCGATGACGCCCGACGCCTGTTCAGTAAGATTGCAGTGCGGCCACGCATTCTCCGCGCCGTAGAGCCAGTCTCTACAGCGACCAATATTCTTGGCTATCCCTCTTCATTACCCATCTATATTAGCTCCACGGGCATTGGAAAATACGCTCACCCTGACGCCGAGAAGATCATCTCCTCCGTCACGGGGCAGGAGGGGCTGCCATACCTGATGCCCACAGGCTCTCCCCACGAGGACATCTTCAAGGCGCGGTCTCGACCAGACCAGAAGATCTTCCTGCAGCTCTACGCCAACCGCGACAAGAAAAAAGCGGCAGACCTGATCCACAAAGCTGAGCGTCTTGGGGCTGCCGCCGTGTTCATGACCGTCGACACCCCGGTCCTCAGCAAACGTGAACGGGACGACCGAGTCCAGGCCGCAGCCGGTGTAGATACTATTTCTCCAACAGGCGGGGGAGTGGCCAAGGTCTCATCACTGGGCCTGCTGAACCCACTCTTGACCTGGGACGACCTCAAGTGGCTTCGACAGACCACTAAGCTCCCAGTAGTGCTCAAGGGCATCCAGACTGTCGAGGATGCAGTGCTGGCACACGCCCACGGGGCCAGTGGCATTGTCCTCTCCAACCACGGCGGACGTTCCCTGGATACTGCGCAGTCACCGATCCTGACATTGCTTGAAATCCGCAGATATGCGCCTCATCTGTTGGAGAAGCCGATCCGTGACAAGTTCCAGGTCTTCCTCGACGGCGGCTTCCGGCGGGGAACAGACGTAATCAAGGCTATCGCGCTGGGCGCCTCAGCCGTGGGGGTCGGGCGGCCTGTGCTCTACTCGTTGTGTGCGGATTACGGCGAGGAGGGGCTGAAGCGCCTGATCCAGATCTTACGGACGGAGGTGACCACCAATATGGCACTGGCCGGGGCAAAGAGCGTGGAAGAGCTAGTCCCCGAGCTAGTGAATACAGAGAGAGCAGAGCGTGAGGTGTCTCGCCGCGTGAAGCTGTAACCACCGGCGGGTACTCTGTTGCACCATGGAGATCTATTAGACGGATTCATCTTAGTTTAGCCCTAAAATTCTAACATTACATTTGATATGATCGGAATAGCAAGAGTGATTTCGCTGATTGGCATAACTACTTCAAATCCATTGCCTTCGTAACTGTATAGCCTGGAATTCTTCATGCTTGAATCTCCCCACCTTCAGGGCTCGACCGTAGACTTATTCCGTTGCACGTAAAGGACATCCTCGTTCTTGTTTTCAAGGCATTTTGTTTTGAATTTAGCAGCCTAAATTTCAACCCTGCGGCTCCCTATGCCTCAAAGCTGTAGAGATGGAGTTTGAAGTTATCTACTCGACGTAATGTGTTCCATGGAAGAGTTGCTTTGGAAGAACCTGCAGAATTTGAGGGGTAAGATACCCTTGTCCTGCAATCGTTACCCGGAATTAACAGTGCTCTCTCGGGCTTTCTCTTCTCGGGCTGTGCCTCATGGGCCGTCGTTGGTGAAATGGGGGTGGGGAAGAGGAGGTGTGGAGATGTGGAGATTTTGGGGAGAGGTTGCATCGAGGTTTGCCATCCAATAGCAACTCGCTCGTGTTTTCAGGGGGCTGGGGTTCGAGTTTCTGACAGGTGAACTCGCTCCGTGACTTGTGAGAAAATCGCCGACGTTCCGGTGTGCATATGCAGGACAGCTGAGGAGGTGTGGCAGCTGTTGGAAAGGCGCAACTCTGCCAGACTGCTTGGCGTGGGGGTCACAAACTCTCCTTCGATGAAGGTTTCGTGATCCAATTTTTTACGAGTCATGCTTGGCTAAACTAACCAGATGAAGCAGACCCCCGCAGCCAACAAGAAGAAGGACGGGTGCCGCAATCCGCTCTGCCAAGCAACCCAGCTCGAAGACTGATGTCTGGAGCATAAGTCAAGTCGACTACCGAACTTCCACTGTTCTCATTCTTCAGAACACAAAGCACAACATGGGATCATATCTGGAAAAGCTATTCTCGCTTCACGGCTCCCTGGCCGTCGTTACAGGCGGCACCCGCGGCATCGGTCAGGCAATGGCCCTGTCCCTTGCTCGTGCGGGGTCCGACATTATCCTCGTTCAGCGCAACGAGAGCAACTTGGAGACCAAAGGACTCATTGAAGCTCTGGGCAGAAAGGCTCTTGTATATACAGCCGACCTTGCAGATCAAGACAGCGTCTCTGCCCTGAGCAAGAAGATCCTCGCCGACGGCCATGATGTGGACATCTTGGTGACCTGCGCCGGAATCCAGAGGAGGCATCCTGCACATGAGTTTCCCATGGAAGACTGGGACGAGGTACGGGACGAAATTCCTCAGTATCTCTCTCTCTTACACTTGCTAATCAGTATGTTACCTCCTTAGGTTCTTCAAGTCAACCTCCGCACAGTCTGGACCCTCTGCCGTGACTTCGGCGCCTACATGCGCAAGCGCACGCCAGACTCAACCGGCCGCCGCGGTGCAATCATCAACGTGGCTAGCTTGGTGTCGTTCCAGGGTGGACTGAACGTGCCGGCATACGCGTCGGCCAAGGGTGGTGTTGCCCAGCTGACCAAGTCCCTGAGCAACCAGTGGGCCGCTGATGGTATCAATGTTAATGCCATTGCGCCAGGCTACATTGCTACGGATATGAACGAGGCTCTTATAAAGGATGAGAAGCGAGCGGCTAGTATTCTGGAACGAATCCCGACGGGAAGATGGGGTTCACCAGAGGACTTCGAGGGCGCCACCGTCTTCTTGGCTGGTGCAGGTTGCCGTTATGTCAGTGGAGAGATTCTTACGGTTGACGGTGGCTGGATGGGACGGTAGAGATAGATCTCAACAAGAAAATTGTTCACTTTTCATCCTAGATTGGCGAATCTGAAGATTACTTGGAGTTTCTGACATTCTGCATCGGTGGAATTGGAGGATATGCAACACCTCCGCAGTCGGCCCTGAGAGATCACTGCCAAGTCGTAGCTGGGTGGTAGCCCAAGTGGTGCCTTACGTATACCCTAGAAGCATCAGTCTCAGGCACCCATGATCATGGAGAGAAGGAAGTCCTCGTGGAGCCAGTGGAGTCAATGTTAGTGTCAGAACAGTGTCATCATTATAACCGGCGTGGGGGTCACCTCAACCTGGGGCCTGTGACGGGCATCCGGAACCAGCCGCACTTCCACTTACTCACATTAGAACGGGTTCATACCGAGCGATGGGGTGCAGATGTTCAGCGAACCCATGATGAAAGCTGCCAAGGGTGTTCAACACCTTGATATCGCGTGTTGAAAGTAGCGGAATCATCCGGTAGATACTAAGACGCATGTTGGACAAGGGATTAGTACAGTCAGGCTTATAAAGGTCCTCCAATTCAACCGTAAGCCAAATCTATGGCCACTTGTTAGCGATGCCAAGGGGACTAAATTTGTGCCGATCAAGCTCATAATCTCGGGTACCCTTATGAGCTTCAAGACTCTTGGCACTGTAGAGAATAGAAACGCAATTTCGAGGCAAGGCAGCCATTTCAAACTGATGAGAAGTTTCCTCAAAGATACAAATGGTGATGAATAACATTCTTCCAAATTATCAAGAGTGCCCACTCTTGTGAACAAGGTACATCATCACGAGTGGACCTGCCCATGCCCCAAGCTCCGTAAAGTGTCGTGTGTCGGAACTTCGATGAATCGGTGTAATCTAGCCTTCGATTTCCGATCTGATCAACCTTCCACATGGTAGTCCAACTGAAAAATATAGGGGCAGGGGAGAACACATGTTCATTTGGCGTCGATACCATTAGCCTATCAATAGTTCAATACCTCCATGTTAATGATTCAAGTATTACTAGATGACATCTAGCGACGTATTGAAGTGGTGGAAGCTTGAAGTAGTTTGGAATCTGACCCCCACGAAATGCATCGTGTGGCACCTTTGGGGTAATCAAGCGGCTTGGAAACTCCAACTTTGGCTTCCAGACTCAACAAAAGACAGTTTCCCCTCGTCTTTGTGACCCCCACGACTATGGGGAAGATGAATGAATTCTCCACATACTAAACCCCCACGGACAGGACTTCTCTGAGTCAAGCTGGCGGGGAAGCAAGTCTTACGCCCTTTACATGTCAGGGGAGGATTTTAACTAGAGGCCCGGGCGCTACAGAGAGTAGTACGTATGTGGCATTCTAATGTGAAGGGGAAAGGGGGTATTAGTTATTACTGTACCGTATGTTGGGAGCTCATACCGCCTTCGAATCAGATTGAATCTTACTGCCGACGCCCTTGCTATTAATACTGACATCTACTTAGGATCTTGTATTCTAAGTGAAAGCATAAAATTTGGGGTAAAGGCTAAAGGGTCTCTGGATGTAAAAGATTGCCTTATCACAGCCAAACAAAATATCATCGCTGCAGAGATGGTTCCACCAAGTATGAAGACATGAGCGACATCACTGGTCGAATCGAGTTCATACTACTGATTGCAAGAGTTCAAAGCTCCAAAGACCCGTCATCAAGCACGTCTCCTCTCCGGTGGGTGGCACTTATTGACTCATGTCGATGGCTCTTTCTTCCCTAGTCTTAACGGAGACTAAACTTCCAATCCATACTGCTGCCGCACCTCATAAGGCTACTATTGTGGCAGCTTAAGGATATTGAATTTCTTCCATGGTCACGTAATCCAAGCCCATTCAGTCCGTTCCAGTCCATACGTAGAGACTTAAACTAAATTAAGGCTGAGAATCGCCTAAAAATGCCCACCTGGAACTAGCATTGCATAAACGAACACACGATGAGGACCGGTGCGGGGACAAGCACGGAGACGGTCAGATATTCGAAATTCCATGGCGTGGGGGTCACCACGTAGCGCCCAGGCTCGAAGCTAAAGAGGCACAACTCATGTAGAGTCCGGCAACTCCCCTTTCTAGGGCCCACCGACTTCAACTGGCTAGGGAAAAGTAAACAAACCGGACATTACCGGCCTCGACCCGACGCTCTGTTGCCCCTAAAGTGTGGCTGTCGTATCTAAATCCTCCAGACCCTCGCCACCTTCAGTTCACAATACACCTACTATCGTGGCTTCAAAATATACTTCAATTTACGCACTGCGCCGACTGGTAACACTACTGCAGATGTTCTTATGGAAGACTCAGTAATAGGGCCTGTTGTTCCGACTTGATACATCCGAAAGCCAACCCATGTGAGTACGAGTATGCTTGTGATTTTAGTTGTGCTTTCTAAATCATGTATTCAAGGGTAGTTTTATTGTTTTCATAGACGGTTACGGAATACAATGTTCAGTCTGGTTTCTGAAAACCCTTTCTCTATACCTGTTGCTAATTTTTCTTTAAGTTCTGGACAAGGAATCAACATTAACATCCCCATTTCCCTCATTTATCAAGTTACTATCAGTATTTCAGAGATATTGACCATCCATTCAAGCCTCGATGCGTTCAATGAGACTGCCCGCGGCGCAAGGTGATATAGTCTACTGGTCTTGTTGGAGGTTCTCGGCAGAGCGAATCTTGCTTGCCGTTACTCTCGTAATGCACTTCTCAGTCAACATTAGAGATTTCGCATCTTGTTAGGTAAAGAACTGACTCGTAAGACGCCCATATTCTGGTTGGCCGTCATAATAAGGTGCTGTGTCATACACAAGACTTGTTGACAAATATTTCCGGCTGCCGAGGTCTTCTGATTCTCAACTGCAACCGATCTACCTTCTACAGTTAATTAAAATCTCGATTCGTACACATTTATCGACACTCTGTAACATCTGAATACTGTTCGTGAAATGTATCACTGTCGAAGTAATAGTGAGACGGCCAGAATCTTAACTAACATGCTAGCATAATACATCACTCTCTAGCAATTAAGTCTTGTCAAACTACCAGTAGATTCTCAGATGCACCAAGAATGTCAGATTTTGCCTATATTATTAGGCTACTCGATTCATTAATCACTCCATTGCATTAGATAGATGCAATTCTTAGCTAGCTATAAGATTTAAGCTATAGAATTACACAGCTGCGCTGGGACCCCGGCTGAAGTCAAACAAAGACAATGTATGAATATTTTGATTGTTTCGAATAAATTACCCTCTTCTTTGTAATGCCCTATGACGCATAGGAAAGGAAAGGATATGTTGGGGCGGTTGAGGAGACCAAGAGACCAGGATCAAGTGAGGGACCTATAACATTGCTATACCATTTCCGTGCACGTGTGCTGATACGACGCGTGCAAGTCAATACAAATGACATACTAGCTGTCTCATCATTTGCTAAGGCTTCTTCTCTCATATTCTTTCGTTTTGTGCTTTACAAATGCAGTGCTTTAATGATATGCTACCAAACTTGGAAGATAATAAATCACAATCCGCCCCGTCTACAGCACCGAACATCTCCCGATCACAAGGGCGTGGATTTTACACATTAAGATTGTGATTAAAATGCCATCAGAATTGGAGGGTATCGATAGCATGTAGACTGCCCGTTGAATGATTCATTTCTCAGTACGGTATGTATGCATTTGTAATTTGAATACTATTGGTGAATTTGAGCCAATCCCAACCCCTGCGATTGAGATATCACTTAACCATGATCAGATTTTCAAGTATTCTCAGACGATATTGAAGGTTCTAGGATGCGGGAAGACATAACTGTGTTCTATAGCGATCTTACTACCGTCGGATTTAGGGGTTGCGGTGTTCGTCAGTCTGATGCGTCAATATGCTCCTATCAGTCAATTGGTACGGCATAAAACAAAGTCTAGAAGTGCCGAAGGACAAAGTGGCCTGTTCTTATTCGTTGGATGAAGACGCAATGCGGAACAGTTGAAGAACATGCCGTATCTCACTGCATCAAACGGCGATGAGAAAGAACTGGATCGTCGGGCCGTCTAGCCAGAACATCGTCAATTCGGCGGTTGAACCACGGCGTGCTTCTATTTTTGTATCCAACTTGCAGCAATGGGATCAGTTCCGGATACCCGCGATCTGAGGCCCCGCAAAATAGAGCAGGTGACGTGTGGTATAAGATCCAGCCAACTCATTTCTCCGCCTCTGATTCTGATTTCTCCGGTGTTTCTCGCGGATGATAGGGGCTCGGTTATGGTGACAGCGGGAATTCGTCCCGTAAAGCAGTCCCATCAAAGCTCCTTTCGTGTCGAAACTGCCAACTGGCGAAGCCTATAAATGTTGAGCTGTCCTCCGCTCAGAAACGAATCTCTATCCCTCAAAACGCCACAACCAGAGCACTACCTGGCAATCACTATCATATATTGTTATTCTTCGCCTTTATATGGTTTGTTACCATAATGACAACAAACTACATAAGATTCCAGTGGCGTGACACAGGATATGGAGAATGGGTCCGAGAGCTTGATGAGGCGGAGCTTTCCTATACGTCACTTCAACGGAATTGGCGAGGCAGTGGGCGGTCTTTCTTTCATATGACCGGCCATCTTACACTTGAATTTGTTGTTGACAACTATGCAGATCTTTCTGCCATCGAAAAACGTGTCGACTCAGCTCTAGCCAAGGCATGGTTGACTTTGCGTTACCACCACCCTACGATCGCTTCACAAACAAAGCTCGATCCCATAACAGGGAAATACATGAAGGCTTATCCCCAACACTCAGTTGGGTGGCTCGAGAAGACTTTCGTTGTCCTTTCGACAGGTCACACTGGCGCGGAATGGGCAAACCATGATCCTCCCGCCCCGGTACTCCCTACTCTATACGCAATGGCTGTCCCATCAATTGAAAACAAGCGGGTTGTCCGCCGCGATCTTATCTTTCGATCTCCTCACGACATCATCGACGGCATTGGCACCTTGCTACTGTTTGACAACTATGTGCGCCATACCGCTGAAGCTTTCGCACAGGGGGATTCGTATGAGCCTCCATCTCTTGATGATCCTCAGGTCTTCCAAAACTTGAGTCCGCCGTTCCGAGTCGCAGCCGCAATCCCGCCGGAGCCATCAGAGGCGGCCCTGCATCGCTTGGCTGGTTTGGATATCGCTGATGTGGAAGACAAAGCGAGGAATGCAGAGGTTGCCACGTTGCCCTATAAAATGGGAGCACTCGTCCCAGGCATTCACAGACGAGTGGAGATAACATTGTCGCCGGAGGAAACGGCGAGGTTGACAGGCGCTTGTAAGGAAGTTGGGTCAACCGTCACACACGTCTTCCATGCTGCGATTGCACTTGTTCTTCGTAATCTGCAGCCGATGCATGAGAAGCCTCGATTAGTTGAGTATGTGGGCTATCTGCTGCGCAACGAACGAGGCAGCTGTGTCCCGCCATTCAATGGTCATGAACATGCCGCTGCGGTGTACCACTCAACCTCCAGCGAGAAGTTGATTGTCAACATGACCGTTCCTGGTCGCAATGATAATTTGCCTGAAGAAACACGGTTGGAGGTTGAAAAACGAGAGTTTCTTGATATCGTGCACCAGATGAGGGAGTTCTACCAGAAAGTGCGAGACGATCCTGAACACTACCGTCTTGCGCCGCTGTTATGGGCGAGGCGCTCGATCCCACCACCTCTAGACGAGCACTTGATTCCCCCCATCCCACCCCCTAGTGACTCTCCATCTGCCTCGATCTCTAGCATGGGCCGCATCGATAACATCATTCGTCGGGGGCACGGTGATATAGAGGTCTATAACCCTTGGGTGACTGGAGAAGAGCTGAGGAACGGGCTAGGCTTGTTTCTAGGTACCTTTAGAGGTTCTTTGTCACTGAGCGCCGCATATAACGACGCTTGGCATGACAAGGATGAGGTATTGCAGTTTGTTGAAAGCTGCATACGGCTTGTGAACACGGGTCTGGGCCTTGAACAATCGAGGTAGTTTCTTACAGGTGCATTTAGAGGTTAACCACTAAAAGAGTCAAAATTCTTTACGAAGTGCTTAGATTCAAAGTCAATTGAAAGACTGAGAAGGAAAATTGTTGCTTAGATCATCACATCATAAGGTCAAGATCCCTGCACACATGTGTATCGCTCCCCCGTCAAGTTGTGTTTGGTCCAACGCAAAGACCACAGCATCATATCCTAAATCCCAGAGTCGGAGCTTTGCCCCTCCAGCAGGGAAATAAGCTCCTTCCTTGCAGAATAGTAAAATTGTGGTGGGAGAGTGTGATCACAAAGGGGGGGGAAATAGCAATGGAAGAGCCCAGGCCCGAAATCTCAACACAAAGACAACAAAGGAAATTAGGAAAGACATCTCAGTCATCACGCCTTCAGCGCTGCCCTTTTGTGACGAGATACAAGCACTCTGGTATCTATCAGTTGCCGAAAAGCTCATCCATGGTCATATCATTAGTGTATCGATATTTGTGCCAGTCGTCATAATAGTTAGTCGTTGGTGGATGGAGCCGCGAGCAAGGGCTCATCTCGTGTGTCCAGCACTGGGCCAGGTCAAAGTCTCGGTGGCTCTTGGTCTGAAATGCAGTCTCAACGCGTAAAAAGGGTGACTTGGATGTCAAATCAACAAGGCGTGAATTCGTAGTCTCGTCATTGAAGATAAACCGCACGTGACTCAGATGTTTGCAACGCTGCCTCAGGGAGACCAGATCCAATAGTTCTTGTGCCTCGTCAAGGATTCCCATTCCGCAGCAAAGAACCTTTAGTTGTTCGAGGCTTTCGGGCAAGCACTCTACCAAGCGTCGTGCACCTTCAACCTTCCTAGACGCTTGGCCAGCCTCTGCGGGCGCGCCAGGTTGACCCAGGTTTGGTTCGCTGTCGATGATTCCGGTAAGTGGAAGCATCCCGATGACGAGGGTTCTCAGGTTCGCCATTTGTTGGAGTTTGTCTCCCATAAATATTCTATCCGGCCTCTCGAGCCAGCTTCTTCGGTAGGTGTCATCGTTTAGATCAAGAGTGAGATGTTCCAAGCCCGCGGCATGGCTTTCAATAGCTTCAATGATATCACGAGGCATGGCCGCTTTATGGCTGGACTCGTTATCGGACAGTCCTCGCATATATTCAAAAGAACGAAGGGACTTGGAAGCAGCCAACATCATTTCGAGAGAGCTTTTGGAGATGCAAGACGAGCGAAACACCAGATCTCTAACTGTGGACGATGATGGCGCTAGTAACGGCGGAAGTATGGCCCCTTCCTCGAGGATGTTTCCATATAGACACTCGTAAGTACGCAGACGAGGTAGCTGAAGGAAAGGCATAGCATGGCGAAGCCAATTGTCATACCCATACCCTTGGACCCCTTCATGATAAACACGTTCCAGAAGGGAAAGAGGGCCCGGATACCTTGGCTCGCATTCTATGGCAGGGTCTGTTTCAGTTGCCAGTCGAAGAACATACTGAAGGTGAGAATAGCTGACGACTTCAAGCATTCCGTCGTCGTCAAGTCTGTCATCTCTTTCTCTAGGCTCAGGGAAGCAAAGTTCCTTCAAGCCCGTGCAGGCCACGAGTAACAAAGCAAAGATGGCATCTGGCATCCCCGCTTTGAGATCAGAGCTCCATCTGGCAGAATTGTATCGCTGAGTAGTCAAGTTAGAATCGTTGACGACCACGTTCCGGATCAGTTGTTTATACACAATCATATCCCCTGCTGTGGGCCCTTGGGGTCCAATGGGTTCCTGGTATCTATCCAACAGCCATCGCTCCAACACAAGTGTCTTGACATGGCTGGCTAGACCGGGCTTGGTGACGGTGATATATCGAAGAAACTTCAATAGTCGGATTCGCATGGGCAAGTCATCAGTGTCGGGCTCATGTGGCGTGTGTACCTCGAATGTTGCTACCGAGAGCGGCAGTGCAGTTTCGTAGAGTTTCTTGCAGGTGCAAAGGATGTTCAAGGTGTCTTCAGAGCCATATGTTACAAGATTAGACAAGATTCGGACTTGCAGCTCTGGTGGAATGCTGAAAAGAGGAGAACCCATCTCGTCAGGCGTGCTTCTCTAGGTGTCTATCGGGAGGGGTTCAGTTTCGTATGCCACCAGTAAGTTGGAGAAAATGAAGAGCTGAGGGGCAGGACCAGATAAACGGTTTTTCTATCAGCCAAAGAGGGACACGTGGCCTCGAATTGCAGGCTCTTTCTTTTGTAAAATAATGTGATATGTGACGTAATTTAGGTAGGTTCCAGCTGGGCGTGCGTGTGAATTTATGCGGTGTACAATGCACAAATATGCGAATGCCTCTGATGAATCCAATCGCAGACTGTCCCGTCTTGTTTCGAAGTAATAGAAACTAAGCAGTCTTGAAGTACTTTGGCAATCGCAATTTTCGATGGTAAGGGATTGTTGAGAAAATGAAAGACTGTTTGATAGTTCACGAAGATTGATAGAGAAAATTGGTGTGTAGAGTAACGTCCAACCGAATGCCAAATCTCACAGTCGGCTGTTGTTTTCGTCATCGTATTCCATTTGGGGGGTCACCAAAGAGATAATCTCTGGAATCCTGTTTCATCTATGACGAACTTATGCAACCAAAATGCAATTCATGTCATGAATGTGCCAATCAGGAGGTATAAATGATGTTTACGGCTGAAGCCTTGCAGCGCACATAAGACCACCACGCAAAAAGTGCAATAATACTTCTGGCGGTGAGACTTACCCCTCAAGAGAGTCAGCAATTAGCTCAATTTCCAGGACATCGAAATCGCGCAAAAATGCATCTGAACGACATGCCCTCAGTTCTGATGGGCTCGTTGATCGCCTTGGAACAAGATCAACACCCAGACACATGTGTCAACAATCACAGCCAGTCTAGGCTCGCCTACAGAAAATGAAATACCGTCGCTGTTTAATGCCTCTATCTCGGAGTGACACTTCGACCCCGCTCGAATGAGCCAACCTTCCAGGGCTGGCACGACACGGCTGTGTCAACCACATAATCACTCGAATTGGAGTTCTCCTTTTACAAATCAACCTACAATGTTAAATATCGAATTGAATGAGTGCTGATACACCTATCCAAGCTTATTTTAACGATCAGGCCCTTACTTCACGAACACCAACAGCTACGATCCCACGACGATACGATCACTCGCAGTGATCACCGTTTTAGGGGTTCACCTGAAAGGGAATTGCGATACTACCTCACTACGATAGTATATTAAATGGGACGAAAGTGCAATAGGCACATTATAGGCTACATCAAGACACTTTGTAGTTCTGTTTCGTAGCTTCTTGATTTACCAGCCTCTACCATCGTTCAAGACCATGCCTCATTCTTGACCAAGGCACCTTCGTCTAAAGAAAGAGGCCCCATTGCTGACTCCCATGTATCTGTGCGCCAGATCCATGCCTCCCAGCCCTTTTCTGCCAACACACCATCAATCGTCCTCTCGTCCATCCAAAACTCCATGGTCTTGGTGTCAGATGTCCACTTGCAGGCCGAAATCAGATGCAGCCGCGGGGCCCTCCTCGCGTCCCTTGCGGCAGTAGATGGTTCGCCTGACCGATCATCTAACAGATGCGCCAAATAATTAGATGGTGCTTTGAAATTCTTATGCTTAATCACCACAGAAAAGAACGAGTTCATCAAGTACGAGTCCCAAATAGTTCCTGCGAATCGTATAGTATACCGTCGAATCATACTCGACTTGGGAAGCAGCGGCTCATTTCCAGCGGGAGTATCCCAAACCAACGGGATTCCAAGGACAGGTTCCCACATCGCCACGAGCGTACGGAACTCGGCGGCGAAGGGAGCGACAGACACGTCAGCCGGTGTATAGGTCTCCCCTGCCAGCTTCTCCAGCTTTCTGTCCGTGATCTCAGCTCCAGGAGGTCCCGCGCGAATCCGGGATAACATACCACTACAGAGCGCTGCCAGTGTCGCAGAGAGCCAGTGCAGCGGGTACCCGAGCGACGCGACGTGGGCAATCAGGTGGAGGAATGCCGTGAGGTTGAGAGGCGCGAGGACACCCACGGGGTCAAATCGCACGCGGGGATATGGCAAACACAGCTTGAGGAAATGGGAATGGAGCCAGAATTCGAGTTCAGGACGCGTCATGCGTGCATCAGCCGGCAGAATCGGGCTGGTACGATGCCGCCGGCAGAATCGAATCCTGATACCATGACGATGCCACCGGGGCCAGCTCGCACACCGTGGTACATCTTCTCTGTCAGCTTGGAGCTCCGGGTGAGAGAGGTGTGGAAATGGGACTCGATTGTCGCGCGGTCACTGAGGAGCAGATATTCTGCAAGGAACTGGTCGTGCGTGAGCCAAGCGGGAGTGTTTCGCAAGACATAAGACCTCAGCTGAGATTTGCCCTCCTCAAGGAGTAGGGGGATACCGTGGAGAAAGGTTGTGAGGGAACCGCCAACATAGTCACTAGAACAATAAATTAGCTCACGTCGCGCCCAAAGAACTTGTCCTGGGGTCTTAGGGGATGTTGCTCAGGTCAATGTTGTCAAATCTGTCAGGAAACTTGCTCGGGTCCAGGTTCTTGACGGGTTTCTGGTCAAGTCGAAGCAAGCCATGTCTTAGTCGCTCAAGAACATCATTCATCTCACCAGGTACCACTTCAATCACGAGACCAGACTTCAGGCAATCAATAGCTGCTCCAACCAAATCGAAGAACTTATGAATGTATGAAAGCAACCCAGGGGGGCATTGGGCAGCTGAGGCCGGGATATCCGAGTATAATTACGAGGCAATTTGGTGAGGAGACCAGGAGATGTCAGGCTGTCCCGTCGCTCGGTCCTCTCTCTTGCGTTGAAACTCCAGATCAATGACGGTGACGTTAGGCTTCCAGTTTGAATTGATGTAATCGTCGAGAACTTTGCGATTCTTTTTGTTCTTCTTCTTGCGATACGCGTTGTGGATTTCAGCCAGGCGAGGCTCGTGCTTTTGCACAAGATGCGCTGGTGGCAGCATGATATAGATGTCATCGAAGCTCTGGGCATCAGGATTATGCTTCCCGCATCCGGGAGGGACCTTGCCACTCTCTAGTTCCATATCATCTCCAAATAAAGCAGACTGCTCCATTTCGCGGTTCGCACGCTCCCGCGATAGATCACGCCTGAGTGCGGCCGTTGTATACCAGGGCTCGGGTGGCTGCTGCCACTCCTTCAATACGCGGGCAATGCCTTGGCGGGCGGGCTCTGGGATATAAAATATACCCATCACATTACTGGAGAGATCTTGCAGCTCGGCGATGACGGCTGCCATGGCTCCGTGGAGGATGTCAGATGCCCATGAGGGCATGAGCTGTCCCGCGAATACGTAGGATATCGCAATGTTTGTCTCCTCTCTTTGTTTCGGGGTCTGGGTCTGGAGATCGAATAGCATACGGAAGATGAGCAAATCACGAGCAAAAACAGTGGCTTTCAAATCCACAAGAGTAAAGTGAAGTTTCCTCTTGGGCGGTTTCAATCCTGACACGACGGCAGCAATGGCCATAGTAGCGAAGAGGAGTCGAGCGTCACCGATCCCGCAGCAGAGACAGGCCAGATCCTTGCCATTGTTAAGCTGACTCTTGGTGAGGAACGAACGCGCATCGTCATGTCCGACTGAGTAAAACTCAGGCTCGTCTTGCCTGTACGATTAAAAGCAATGGGTGAGCGGTGAACTTTCCCTCGCTCATGTTCAAAACACGGGCAGATTAACATACAGGACTGTTCTATAGCGCGGAACACGATCAAGCAACTTCTTGCGTGTCGATAGAAGGCTTGATGGAGACTGCGGGCTGATGGAGGCCCGGGCCGGCAATGACTCGAGCGTCTTACGCGCTTCCACAGAAGTTATTTGAGATAGAACATCATTAGCTTCATCTGTCTTTTGGGAGAAGAACAATGCCTTGCAGAGCCGGATCCGGGTCTTGTCGGCGGATGCTTCACCGCCATCTTTCCCGAGGAGCAACAACGAAGCTCGACAGGTATCAGCACAGTTGGCATACTGGCGAGCTCATAATATACAGCGGCTAGATTTGATAGTGGTCGCGCATCATCAGAAGCAATGCGGGAAGCTTCCAAATATGCAGTTTCAGCTAATGTCGTTGGTTAGCAATTGATGGTATCACGGCCCCGATTTCGGATCATCAGCATACCTTCTCTAAGCTTGCCCTGCTTGTACAGATTATTGCCGCGCTGACGAGCTTCGTCTGCTGCTGTATTCAAGGGGGGAGTTTCTGATTCCATGATGGTGGTAGTGATCGTCACCTTCCAAGATTTGCAGATTCACCAAACGCGGCAAGATTTCTGCGACATTCTTTCCTGATGTTTTTTGTTGTTTTCCCAAACACAAGAATACCCCCGAATTCGTATTTAGTGGCAGCAAAGCCGTGTTGGAAAAAGCAATCATGCGTTTCTGTTCTTCCCAGTCAAGATTAGTCGTCGCATGGTTCTTAATTTGTACCTACCCTAAAGCTCAATCAAGCGCACCCGAAAGTACACCACGAATATAGTACATTAACGTCAGTACCAGCAATAAGCATGTATAAATCATGTTTCCGGCAGACCTAAAACGAAACAAACGGGCATTCACCCGGAGCTCAACCCTCATTAAGAAAAATGTGTACCGAATTATCAGTTCACATATACTTAGGCTGCATAGATGACATGTATGTAGAGACTTTCTCAAGTTAGAGCCGTATACGCTCTGAAATGGTCCCGTCTTCGTTTGAGATCGCCTTGAGACTTCACTGCATGCTATCGCATATGTGACAGAGGAATAGCTTCCCCAATCTCTGTCGCGTTGGGATATTGTAGCTGGCAGATCTCACCTCTCAGTATCGGTGAGCATTTCCTAAAACGGATATGTCGATGGCACCAAGGAGGGGCAGTTAGACCAAGCCACATTTAGCGCCAAGAGCGATGATATCATCAATCGACACAGTTGACACGCTATATAAAGATGCAGCTCCGTTCCCTTTGCCTTTGATTTATCATTCAGTTAACCGAACAGAGCTTTGACGCGCCACAACCAGAGCGTCGCCTACCAATTGATCAACCGCTAGAATGGATTACGCCAGCCACAACCCGTACGGTGCTCGTCCACGAAGCTATGATGGTTACGAGAATTACATGCCTCCGTCTGAACCGCCACCAGGCGCTATGATGAATGCCCCTACAGGAGTACATCACAGCGGCTGGGCACCTCCTCAATACCAAAGCCAGCATCTCAACCCGTGGCAGCATGGCCAGTCACAAGCACCTCAGAGGCCGCAATCAATGTCTTCATACTCCAACAATCCGAACCAGAACCAATATCAACACCGCCCACCCAATCACCAGCAAGGATATGCTTATCCTCCTCCTCCTCCCCCAGGCCCCCCGCCTAGCAGCGCCGGACAGTACCCGTCTATCCCATTCCAACGCCCACAAATAGGCTTCACGGCCCTCCCTCACAAGTTCCACATCTGGAACTTCATGAAGGGCAGCACGAGCTACCTCCAACTCGGCCCCGAGCTCTTTGGTCCCGTCGCATACTCGTGCAAGCTTCGCGGATCCGCCAAGCTGGAGGTCACGACCGGCTCGGCCGAGCAGCCCGTCATCGCTTCTGCCAATTCCAAGAGCACTTTCAGCTCGAAAAGCTGGTTGATGTTTCAGAACGACAAGGTCCTGCTCATCCCAGAGAATAACTACAAGAATTACTTTCTCGATGTCCCCGTCTCCGGCAATCGATTGGAGAAGTGTGAATGGCGTAAAATGGGCTCATCGGGGCTACTAGGGAAGCTGCTCGGAGCCGGAAGCGGTGCAGCTCCTCAGCCAAGGGGCTGGGAGCTGGTAACTGCCGGTGCATCCACGGGAACCGCGGCTGCCGAACCGCTAGCCAGGATGGTTTATCAGGGAGGATCGATGATGGAGAAGAACTCACACCTGTACACGTTTGAGTGGCAGGGGCGAGCGCTGAGGGGCGGCATGGGTGATGTCTTCACGGCGGTTGTTATCGTAAGCGCCCTGCAGATCCTGCATACGGAGTACATTACCAAGATTGCGAAGAGCGTGGGCGCAGCAGCAGGATGAGAAGAGAGGCAAGGAGGACCAGATACTTCTAGATATCTTAGTGAATTATAATGAAGTTTAAAGCATGTTTGGGATACGTACTTGGTGGCCTGAGAGCTATTAACAGTGACTTTCGAGAACCATTCCTACACCTTGGACAGATTTAAGATTTCTTGCTTATGGGGAATCATCAGAGGCCTAGACCTAAGTGGTCACTGGTGCAGCTCATCGTCAAACTCGGTAATCTCGCTTATGCTAGTCTGCCACAGTCCGACGGGGTTGTCCTGAAACAAGATGCCTGCAACTATAAACTCCGGCGGGGGAAGAAGTTTATAAGACTACTTTAGAATAAAATACACGTTCGATAACGACTTGAGGATCGTTCTTGTTTTCCGTTCTCTATCCAGTCTCTTTTAGTAAAAATCGTCCAACGTGGAACTCTGTTCCTCGCTTCCAAAATGAGGGTCAACTTCTCCACGGTTGTTACACTTCTTACGAGCGCTACGCCGGCCGTTCACGCTCACTACTTCTTCGACGTCCTCGTTATCGACGGTGTTGAGAGTAAACCTATTGAGTATGTTCGCGAGAACACTAGGGCGATCAAGTACATGCCCACGAAATTCATCAACACCTTTGACAACTTGACTCCCTTGTCGACCGATTTTCGATGCAACCTTGGTGCTGGGTCCGGCAGTGCCACTGATGTAGCCAAAGTTGCTCCCGGCACACCGCTTGCCTTCAAGCTTGCCGTCGGCGCAACCATGCAGCACCCAGGACCGGCGTTTGTCTACATGTCAAAGGCTCCGGGTGATGTCAAGGAATATGCCGGCGATGGGGACTGGTTCAAGATCCATCAAGAGGGCATATGCAACGACGGACCAGTTACAACTACTGCATGGTGCACATGGGACAAGGACCGTATCAGCTTCCAAATTCCCGCGGGCACACCTGCTGGTCAATACCTGGTCCGAGTTGAACATGTTGGTGAGTTTTAACCCTTTCATAGAAATATCAAGCCTTTCTGATCTCGTTTACTAAATAACCACTAGGTCTCCACGGCGCCCATGCCGGCGAGGCGGAATTCTTCTATGCCTGTGGCCAGATTGAGGTTACTGGAAATGGTGCTGGAGTTCCAGGTCCAACGGTAAAATTCCCTGGAGCGTACCAGCCTAAAGATGCCCCTTGGAACTTTGGGGTATATGGCACTGACAGGGACTTCCCCTTCCCTGAGCCTGCTGTTTGGACTGGTGGCGACTCCGGCTCTGGAAGTAATGCTACACAGCCAACACCTGCCACCACAGCTCCGATTTCTAGCAAGAGTCCCGTCACCAGTGCGACTTCGGTCACTGAAGCTTCATTCTCCAGCCAAACTCCGGTCTCCAGCCAGACTCCGATCGTCGGGGGGAACAATGCTGGGAAGCCTTCAAAATGCAGTGCTAAGAAGCACCGTAAGAGAGCACATGTTCACTAAGGCCAGCGGCGGTTTGAACAAATTCATCCTGTAAATTATCCATCTTTCTTTGATCATCTTCCATGATCTTAGATACTTCGCTTTCTCAGTATATATATACAACGCTTTTCATAGACACACGAGGAGGGACAATTTTACAATGAACTTCTTGCCAAGGGCAGTTAAAAATCTACCTTCTATGCAAGATGAAGGCTTTGAATTGGCTGAGCACTCATATTGGGTCACATAACTAGCCAAGGCCGCTAGAGCACGTCATAAATCATAAAATGATAGGGTTTACGCGTTAAATGAATGCATCTGGCCCTCCGAGTGATCGACTGGTAGGTGGGTGCCTATGGGCAAAACCTCTCCTGGTATTTAAATTGAAACATAGTCCCAAAACTCAGACTACTCTACAGCTGGAATTCCTCACCGGGCCTACAGGTGACGAAACGGGAGACTCAGGGAGTGGTTATTTTGTTGTTGAGTCGAAATGTGCTGGGGCAAACAATGAATCCCACCATTCGCCGTCAATTCGCTATCATTTTCAAATTTTCTACCTCTCGGCGGATCAGAAAGCTTTGCCTTCGCCTTATATTAGCTGAAATCCATCTTAGGAGAAGATTGAGAGGAGACAAGCCTCGTTAACAAGCTGTAAATGGCCCATCCCATAGGTATTGACGAAACTATGCCCGATTGTCCGTAAGATCTGTCAGCAACCACACCCTATATATACACATCCGAGTCAAATAATACAGAATAGGGATCGTACAGGTCTTAGGCTTTGTTGACTGTGGTTAGGTATTCCTATTGTCTTTGAGAAATGACGCGGAGATCTCGTTGCTTGGCATGATATGTGTTTCGAAGGCTGGGGATGTATCAGTGTCAGTGCTCTGGCCAAGGGACTACTGGTACTCACCAGATTCATTGGTATCCGAAAAGACCACGTCAGCTCCCCTATGGTGGGAAGGAATACCCGTGAACACTACAGCTTGTTGATGAAGTTATGATTCCTTGAATGTATTGAGATGAATTTATTGGAGGGGCCTCTCAGAGCGATTAGACTTTTGGAAATAGAGGCTGCTTGAATTGTTAAGCACAGAGAATCACAATGACGTCCTATAGATCCCTGGCAACAAAGATGTCATCAAAGCAATAGGGAGAGCTATTATACATTACACAGCCTTCACTAAGTCATTAGAGATTGAAACTCTCAAGCGCCCTCCATAAGCACCACGCACTGCCTTGGGCGTAAGCCTACTTTCGCAGAACTTCAAGAGCGCAGAATGTCACTTCGGTATAATATCAGACCCTAAAGTAAAGCAATAAATTTGGGTTTTCTAATTTATGGTACAAACAAGCGAACTGTCATAATTATTCAGTTCACTTCAAGAGCTAAAATCAATTCTAATATCCAACCGTTTCCCATTGATTCCTACAAAATGAAGCACGATCTTTTCCCAGATCGACAGACTCCTACCCTTAGCGAATCAGATCACTGTGGCCCGACCTGGCCTAGGACCGTTGATCTCTGAAGGCTAGCCAACACATTTAGTGACGAGACTTGACAAGCTTGATGGGGACCTCCATCGATGTGGCAGAGTGACGGTTGCTGGTCTTGAGGTCCTTGTCCTTCATCGCAACTGGGTTGGTGCCCCCCTGGAGGGTAGGCTTGCTGATCTTAGGCTTTTCCGCCTTCTTGGGCTTGGAGAGAACTCCGCCTCGAGCCTGCAGAGAACGCGGGCGAGAGGTAACCAGCTTGATGGGCACCTCCATCGATCCGGAAGAGTGGCGGTTGCTAGACTTGAGGTCCTTATCCTTCATCGCAACGGGGTTGGTGCCGTGCTTAAGGGTGGGCTTGCTGATCTTGGGCTTCTCCGCCTTCTTAGGCTTGGACAGAACGCCGCCCCGACGCTGTAGAACAGCACGCGGGCGAGAGGTAACCAATTTAATGGGGACCTCCATGGATGTAGACGAGTGGCGGTTCTTGCTGGACTTGAGGTCCTTGTCCTTCATCGCGACAGGGTTTGTACCGCCCGTGAGGGTAGGCTTGCTGATCTTGGGCTTCTCTGCCTTCTTGGGCTTGGAAAGCATACCGCCTCGGACCCACAGAGAGCGTGGGCGGGAGGTAACCAGCTTGATGGGGACCTCCATGGATGTGGAGGAGTGACGGTTCTTGCTGGACTTAAGATCCTTGTCCTTCATTGCCACGGGGTTGGTGCCACCCGTAAGGGTAGGCTTGCTGATCTTAGGCTTCTCCTTCTTAGGCTTAGAAAGGATGCCGCCTCGAGCATACAAAGAACGTGGCCGAGAGGTGACGAGCTTGATGGGCACCTCCATTGATGTGGAAGAGTGACGGTTCTTGCTAGACTTGAGGTCTTTGTCTTTCATAGCAACGGGATTGGTACCGCCCGTAAGGGTAGGCTTGCTGATCTTGGGCTTCTCCTTCTTAGGCTTGGAAAGCATGCCGCCTCGGGGCTCCAAATAGAGATCATACTCGTCACGCTCGAAGAGATCCTCTTCATCGCGCTCATAGAGCTCGTCATCGAAGTCACGTTCATCGAGTTCTTCGTCGAAGTCACGCTCGTCGAGCTCATCATCGAAGTCACGCTCATCGAGTTCTTCGTCGAAGTCACGCTCATAAAGCTCATCATCGAAGTCGCGCTCGTAAAGCTCCTCGTCATAGGCGCGCTCATAGACGGCGCCTTCGTTTCGGGAGACAAGGTCTCCTGACTCTTGAGAGGCAAGGGCCTGGCTGGAAACAGCCAGGAGAAGAGGGAGGGTGGAGAGCAAAGAAGCCTGCTTGATTGCAACCATTTTGACTGATTTCAACTGAGAAAATGGGAAATGAGAAGATGAGATATAAGAAAGAGAATAGCTCAAAGGAAAATGTAGTGAAAGAGTTAGAAAGAAAAAGGAGACAGTAGGAAAGATGACTGAAAGGAAATGTGAATGATTTAGAACGAAAGACAGACCATTTAGAAGACAAGAAACAGCCGTTATATAGATATCTTGAGTTACACGCGATGAAGATACAATCTATTTTTGGAGCTCCAGAAGTTCACAGCCACTACGATGTACCTACAGTTTGATCAGCCCTCTCCATAGCGGACGACCTTCCAGAGCACATGGACCGCAGACTGAGCCCTAGAGGTTTCCAAACGGTGTGTAGCCCACTAGCGTGATCCTAATTCATGTCCAGTCAATGCGGGGAGCAGACTTCCGCTTCGCCAGGTAACTCTGCCTTTTTCGGTATTACTATGATTGTCTCTCGACGAGAGACGAGACGCGTGGCCATCCACGACCCTACTTGCCTACACCCCTACCAGCTCGCAACTTCGTACCCTTCTTTGGAAGTATTCCTCGTATCTGCCCCTGACTGCTGCTGCCCCATTGCCGTCGAATGCTGCGAGGTTGCCAAACACAGGCAGTTGACCGGCTGGCTGGAACCTGAGCGCTGGTAGATTGGGACTTTGGACAGCAGAGTCTGCCCCTAGTGAGAATTAAGGCTCTTGGTCCAGCCTTTCCCACTATGAAGGAGCATGTCGGTAGTCGCTAGATTTACCGCGCGCGGACGAGTTGGTGGGCCAATCCTTCGGCACAGCATCCTTTGGGACTAACAAGGCAGCTGGGGCATCACAATGGCGGCATTTTACGTGCCGCCGTTACATCCAAGCTTGCTCTGCCCACTAATTGTTGCCATTAATAGGGGCCGGCTGCCAGAAGCAGGCACTGAGATGCGACGCTATAGGTCATCTTGATATATGCCAGCATTTTAATGGTCAACATCATTAGCTAATGTCGAGTATGTATGTGTGTAGCACTAGGCTCCTATCTCATCGATGGATTGAATCAAATCCAACGTGAGTGGTGGCTCTGACCGTGACCAACTGGATCTATTTTCATCTCGTATTAGGTTTGGCAGACCAATACTGATGCTAATTCTAGGCGTGGTGCAAACTTCTACCATCAGGAGGATCACTGATCTACGCATGCCTTTTGCTGGCTTCCGGCCTAAAAGGCTTGTCGTGAAACATCCCAGTGTCTTGTATGCGGAAGTGTCGTGATGCACCCTAAAGGGGGAGGGATTAGCATGGACCCTACGATGATACATCCGCGGTCTTGGAACTGCCGACTTGCTAATTTAGTATGGTTTTTCCCTGGTTTTCTGGGCACTTTACGCGCTTGGATCGCATCGTGCCTTGGCAACGTTCCAGGGTCAAAATCCTTCTCAGCCTCGTACTTAGCCTTATGGATGGGTCACTTCCTGAAGCGGGTGCCATGCTCCGAGACCCCAGTCCGAGGCCAAATTCACTGAGATAGAATCCAAGAGCCGCCGTGTAATTGGGATATCCGTGGAATTGGGACTTCTGAAATGGTGAGACAACATTAGCCAAGATTGAGCGGTTATGTGAGCAAACATCCTAGAGATGGCCTAACCGGCTACACAAAATTATCGGCCAACTCAGGCCCCATTAATTCGACCTCAGCTGCGAATAGAATGTAGCTAGTGACACTGGTCGCCTCCGCTCCCAATACCAAGGCTAGTTTAGTGAAGGACGGACAAATACTTTTGGGCCTCATTTTACAAAGTTATGCCGTAGTCCAGTATCTATTTGCACCGCAGAGTTCGCATGTCCCGGCTCGCGTGTTGTGATGAACCGTCGTGGTCACGTTAGGCAAAGATAAACTTGGGTGATCAAACTTATGTCCAGAGGCAAGTGATTCGAGTTTTGGCCGATATTGTGATCTTCGTCGCGTACAGTCATAATGTCGCTCACGACACGCTTTTGACTGCCTTCTTGTGGGTGGATGGGTTGAGTAGTATTGTTCTCTGGGCGGATGTCTCACTCAGGGGCAAAGGGCGTCCATCTAGCCACTGAGACAGGTATGTAAAATGTGCATCCACCCCTGTAACGACCACAAAGAAAGAGGCTTGCGTAGAATAATGTGACCGGAGGTGTCAAAAGGAATAGCTTTCTAGATCCCTACAGTTTTGTAGAAGTACTTATTTTGCATACAAAGCCATCCACCTTTTTATCTTTGTCTTAATTCTTTCTCTCCTACTATATTTCTAATGCTATATATCTCATGATGCTGAGCAACCCGTCCAAGAACCGAACAGCTCTCTAGCGATTTCTGTTGAAACTCATACTCTAGGGTGGTATTGATGGGCAGAAAAGGGGCCACAAAATGTTCGGCCCATGATCCCAGAAAAGGATTACCGTTGCCCCGCACCATGTTAGAGATCAAGATCAAGGTGAGTGAAAATAGGGAGGGGGGATGATTTGTAAAATCCACCTAAGCAGAGGCTTTCTTGAAATGCCGGGAATTGCCTGCTTGACTGCCTACCAGTCCAGGTGCTGACAATATCGCCTCCGTTGGTTTTGAGGGCACATAATGGCAGCTGCACGTAACTCTACCGTTTACCTTGTCAGCTCCGGCGGCAACAGCGGTAAAATGCTGCTACCTTCTACTTGATTGGGCTGGCTGCTGAAAATTGGACCGTCAAAGGGGCAGTTCAGAATACGGACGGACGGAGCAGAGCTTCCTTGAGCTGGTTTGAGTGCTCCCAGGCTGCGACCCTGATCTTTGCCCATACATATACGACCCTGAGAAGACTTTCCCTTTCGAGAAGCCATTGTAGACACTTCGCTTTATTTTTGTTTAGGCATTTTACCGTGGGACTTTGGAATGCATGTAACAGGTGGGGGCTAACAAAATGGCCAGACCTGATGCCAAAAAGGGTAAATGTCCACGCGTTCTCGTTCTCACCATGCGCCAACTTCTTGATCTCAGCTTGCAGGTTTTTCCAAGGAGAAGATTCGACTCATTCATGGATTCGATAAGCTTCCTGTTGGCCTCGGAACTCCTCTGAGCTTTCGGACTACCTTATCTCTTTGACGCTGCTTGGTCATTCTTGAAACCGTTGGCCCCCAACAATGTGCCAAGAATCTGGGATGGTGCCCCTTGTTCTCCATGGCGAGGATGCCCTGGCTTCTGATGTGAGATCAATATGAAATTCCAACAGGCTCGCAAAGCCCTGCCCCTACGGAGTAGAGCATGGATGAACAAGCGCCACAGGGCCTGGGGGATCTGCACAAGTTGTTTTGCTGATCCTTGTACTATGACGAGCGGAGTAATAATGAGAGCAAGGGAGGCAGTCTTCTCTGTCCAAATACTGTTATATCTATCGTATAATCATCTTTCTCGGCACTGTACCCATGAAGAGGGTGATCCCTATTTGTTCCAATAGTGAGCGGTGTCAAAATAACGCCATTTCTCACCGGGACATCCAAGAGTTTCTTTGACGACCAATTAGAGGTTCACGGAAAACCGCGGTTCGCCAGCCTCTATCACAACCCTCGTGCTGGAGGTAGTCATTATTGGGTCTCTCCGGACCGGTGATGCTAAGCAACTTTTAATTGCCTTGCCTTCCTTTCCTGGTTGTTTCGTAAGCACAGTTCGCCGGCTTGTATTAACATCCATGATATTGATTCAATGTCATAAGCATATTAGGTAGGTGATGACCACCATTAAACGTATAAACAGCCGTGAATGCTAGGTCTGGGGTACATGAGCGCGTATAGCCAATATGGCTCACACAGTCGCGCCGCAGCTGCCAAATATTCCGAATATCAAATGTTCGAATCATGGGGCTTTTGTATGACAAAGGGAATCTAAGCCCAGCGAGAACTGCTACCCAATGTCCCCGATTGCGGAGGGCGGCTATGAAGTTTCCTCTGCAAGCCTCATTCTAGTTCCCTGATTACTATCTCTGGGACTGCTGTAGGTAGGCGTGCTGCATCCCTATCCGTTCCTGATATTAATCCAACATCCCTCTTGAACTCCAGTAGCCATTCTGCGTTATCAACCGGAGTTTGATTCCAGGGGTCATCGCTGATTGGTAAAATGTTAGCTCTGAAGAAATTGAAACATGGTGGAGAACAATGAGAAGGAAAAATAACAGAAAAAGCACAGATTGCAGGGGAATTTGCACCGCAAACTCACTCATCGTAGAGAATCCATCTTGCTTGGTACTTGAGTTCGTCGTCAGTTGGAATATGGCTATTGGGGTTGTTTCGGGACATGGTTGTAAGAACAAATCTCGACAGCTCCCGCTTGAGTCGTCTGTAGCTGTTATTATCGTTGAGAAAAAAAGGAGTGCCGGATCGAATCCTCCTGTTGTCTTGGTCAAAGCGAGGCGCAGGGCGTTGAAAAATTACCGGGGATACTGGGTCCTCTGCAAAGCCAGAGAAATTTGTGGCGAGCCCAGGATGAAATCCCAGTGATCTTGCATTTCGATTCTCTCCATTACGAATAGAAGGTGGGAGTTTTGCAGGATCAGTGATGAAGCCATGATCATTCGGAGTTTCCACGGCCATCTCACTGCTATCTAACGGTAGGAAGTCGACGCCGACCCCAGTGAGAGTAGGCTGCTGGTCCCAAGGAAGATCATACGAAAACGGATTTAAGTCACCCATCGACGCTGGTTGTATACTACCACTAATCGACAGACCTTCATATGGCATGTTGGTCAAGCTTTCGGGACTGCGCTGGCGCAAGGGGGTCAGCCATCCTGTCGAGGCCCAGATCAATCTCATCATGAACTCGACAAATCTTTCCGAGACATTCGGCGATGATTCCTCTATCCGGTGCAGCGTATTGCATGCTTCTTGTTGCAATTCGGAGTCCGTGACGGTGTGGCCAAGAAAAGCCTGAACTTCCATGAATTGTCTCAGGGACGACTCAAGCTCGCAGTTCTCGAAGATGTTGCCCTTGCCGTTCACTTGGAGGCGACTTAATCTTGACTCGGAAAGCTCCTTGGTAGGTCGAAGTCTGGCCCGGTTGGCAATCTCGGTGGACGACATGAAGATGTCGCTGAACCATGAGGGTGCAGACGAGGCAGGTGTTGACGATATGGCTTCAGCGCCGAGAATAACCGAACACCCCTCGAACTGGATTTCCGAGTCTTGCGGTAGACAGCCATTTACGTTGAAATGGTTCCGCATATAGTACTCTAATTCCAACTTGATGAGCTCATAACCGCTGGTAGGGGTATCCGCGGGTCCTTTTGTGGCAGCGAAAGGCAGCGGGGAGTTTCTCTCATAATGGATAAGGTCTACCGTGGAAGAGGTTCAGTCAGCTAAAGAGGGAGTGAAGAGGACGTGACAATACAACTTACAAGGAGGCATCGCGTTATCAATTCTATTGAGTACGTCGGTATCAAACCCCCAGTCCCCCTTCCAATCTGCCATTGTCTTCCCTCTTTTGAAGTGGTCGCCGAGGTGATCGACACGCTCGGCCCAAGTGCTAAGCAGGATGCCGCAAAAACCACATCGCGACCCAATCTCTCGGCCTACGACCTTCCATTGGTCCATCGGCCACTTCATGAATGTTGAATGATGCACCAGTTTGAGATGTTGTTGAAGATGATCCTTACGATGAAACGTCCTCTCTTCCAAGGGCCGTTCCAAGCAAGCGCTCTGGTTGTGTCCGTTCAAGTGCACCAGATCTGGGTTCTCGGAACCGCAGAATACGCACACGAGCTTACCATCGTCTTGCCGATTCGCAGTGGGACCTTCCGGCGAACAAACCCAGTTCTCGAGCGACAGGTGCAACGACTTCTCATGCCTCTGCCAATCATACTTGGTTTTGAACGTCTCGGTGCAGAAGGTGCACTGATACATGTTTTCTGCCTGAATCAGCGTGGTCTGAGCCCCTACCTCGAGTCGATTACTCGCAAGCTTCCTCTTCCGCCGTCCATGCCGCTTGAATACACGTTCCAGAGACGCCAGGGAATTGTACGAGTGCGCGGAGCTACATGAGCCCGAGCCACGGCTGGACACGGAGGAGCTCGCCGACACGGCACTGCTGCTGTTCGTCCGGCGCGGCCGACTGCTTCGGCCTCTGGGCTGCTCGGTGAGGGCCGCCATGGCACGGGAGATGGCATGGGCGGTCGCGGGCTCGTGCTCAGGGGGCGAGTTCTCCCAACGCTGAAGCGGGTTCATGTGCTCAAAGGGTGCTGGGGTTGCGGCCCGTCTCTTTGGAGTATCGACGGGGGTCTGGCCGGCAGACGAAGAGCTGTGGTGGTCATCGGCATCGCGAAGAAAGGGCGACGACGGGCGCGAGTGGTAGAACTTGGATCTCCGCCTCGCGTTGGCAAACCAGTTGGTCACTTGGCGCTGGTTGAGTCCTGTTTGGCTCTGGAGCTTTTCGATCTCGTCATTGGCCGGATAAGGGTCATGTTCGTGGCTTGCAAACCAAGTTCTGAGGATCTTGAGTGCCTCGGAGGAAAAGCGGTTGCCGATCTTGGGCGGCGCCATCACGGAAGCACCTTGTTGCTGGTGATGCTGCTCGGTATGGTGGTGGTCCTGCTCTTCCTTCCCCTGCTGCTGCTGCTGCGATAACAGCAGGGAGCCAGAGAGTCCCCCGTCTCCTCCATTGTCCGATAAGAAGACTTCAGACGCATGAGGTGCCGATGCTGCAGATGCGGAATCTTCGGGGAGGTGGGGGTTGGTTAAGGCGCCTCTGTCAGCGTTGTCCCGTGCCGGCGACGATGTCATTCTGGGATCCCGCGCGTTCTCATAGGCACCGATGCCGTGCCCTCGTCAACCGCCTTGGATGAAGAACCGAAATCCACATCCATTCCCAAATTTCCTGCGTGCCCACGCGACCTTCGCCGACGCCGGTTTTTCGGAATTTAGTGGGCGGACAATTAGAGTTGGTCAGAATTGCGTGGTTTCGGCTAAGAGCCGGTTAATCTTGTCGACAAAGGGCTGAGATCTGGCCCCGATTTTCAGCAGTCACACGCTCAAACAGTCAAAGATCTCTCCGGCTTCCCTGTTCCCATCTCCTAATTATTACGTGCTACTATCGTCGATTTTGCGGGTCACCTGCCTCCGGGAGCGGTTCCCGAGTGTTGAACTCTGCATTGCCATTGCGTTATCGGCATGAAGGTTGGTGACATTGAGTAAGCAGAGCCATGAGCGATAAGGTAGAATATTTCAATGACTTCGGGCTGGTTTCAGATCGATTGATATAATTATTGACTTGTCATGTTAGTGGGTTCATGACCCATCTCGCCTCTTGAGAGACTGAGGGAGGTAGATGGCTCGGATACTGACCCGGATGCAAGAAGTTCTCGGGTATAGGGTAGGCTGATTATGCTGGAGAGAGGTGTTTGAGGGTGCTGCTCGGGCGTGGTCCGTGTCAATGCCTGTCTTCAAGGATGGCTAACCCAGTTGTGATTTCTGGCTGAGAAATCAATGCATCAGTTTCAGAGTGGGCCCAGGTCTCTTCCTGTGGCTGACATAATGATAGATACCATCCCCGTCTCAGGGGTTAAGGAGGGAGCACGGAAGAGAAACCCCGCTTGCACCGTAGAAACTCGGGTACCGGACAGATCGTGCAACATGCGATGCACTCTTTGCTTAGGTCTTGATATTCAAAAATTAATTGATTATGCTGAGGTTGAGTTCTCGGGGTGGTACATACCCAAGAGTTCCTTCTATCAGCACTATGCCTCGATTCACGAGCTGGAGAAATCAGCTGATGGAGGTTGCGACCTTTGTGCACTTATGATATACGCCTTCAAGAATTCTAGATCAGATGACCACCGGTATTATGCTATAGAGGATAGTGATCTTCTTAGCGCCATCAAGGAATGGGTAGAAACTTCGTCTATCCGAATTTCTATCCAGGCGAGCCACATTTACGTTGCCAAGCCATTAGAGGAGGCTCAAATGCTGGACATGCTCCAGATCTCGGCTGGGGAATACAAGGAGACAAGTTCAGACCCTGATGAGAGCTCTCTCCAGGAGCCACCGACAGTGTTCCTGCAGTTGTTAACACCCCTGGGTGAGTATCGACGTGTCATGCAGCATGCTTGACACCCACTTGTATCATTTTATCAGCTGTTGACATCCTATACTGCAGAGCACCCACTGAAACTCGGAAGATACGATATTGGACGCTTCAAAACGGACGTAGACCTTGGCTCGGACTCCAATGTCGCTATAGCCAAGAATTGGATCGATACGTGCTCAAATCATCATCAAGGTTGCCCTTCACCAGACCCGACAAGCTTTCCTACACGTGTTATTGATGTAGGAACAATCGGCGACGCGAAATGTAGCCTATTCATTCCTAAATCTGGGTTCATTTCGCGATATGTAGCACTGAGCCATTGCTGGGGTGGCCCTATTGAACATATCCTACTCAAGAAGACGTTAGCTGAGTTCCAGACCAGCATACATTGGGATAATCTCGAGGCAAATTTTCAAGATGCTGTAACAATTACCCGAAATCTCGGACTCAGGTACCTCTGGATTGATTCGTTGTGCATTATCCAAGACGACTTCGATGATTGGGCTGTTGAGTCCGCAAAAATGGCTGACCTTTATCGCAACGCGTTTGTGACGATATCGGCAATGTCATCGCCTATTAGCAGCCATGGCATCTTTCAGACTCCCATAGAGGTGGAAAATCCAACTCCACCAGCTGTTGATATCTGCCTATCGAACGACAATCAGACCACTGTTTCAGTTGCAACGTTCAGTCAAGGAGACAGATCTAGGGTTGAAGACCTTCGTTGGCTCTATTTGTACTCACCATTATGCATCCGCGGTTGGTGTCTGCAGGAGTCTGTGTTATCTCCGAGAATCCTACACTATGGTGTCTCTCAAATCTACTGGAAGTGTTCCCGTGGCTTTCAATCGGCTGATGGTGCCCTTCCGGGGAATTTGTTCCCCGAAAACGAGTTTTATCCGGCGCTATCTTCTGTTTTATACTCAGACCTTGCAAGGGGCGGCGATTCATCAATGGTGGTTGCACTTGACAAGAGGAGGCTCATGGATGAGTTTTATGAACTGGTTAATCAATACACAAAGAGAAAACTATCGTACTGGAGGGACAAGTTGCCGGCTTTCTCTGGACTTGCTCAGAAGATGCATGCCGCCGTTGGTGGGACGTACCTCGCTGGCATTTGGAGTGAAGATATCCGGAGAGGCCTCTCATGGCAGAAAGAAATGTCATGGGCGAGACATGCGTCGACTTACCAGGCTCCATCATGGTCATGGGCCACCACCAACGACTTAGTCAATTTTGATAACCCTGATTCTTTCGAGGATGAGGATAACCTTATTCTCGTAGACTCTGACATCCAGTTGGTCAACAAAAACAACCCGTACGGCGCTGTGAGGTCTGGTCACATCATTGTACGCGGTCTTACAATGGAGCTCTGGCGTACTGTGGGGACGATCAGCCAGACAGAGCTTGAATCAACAATAGACCTTGGTACCGCCCTATGGGATGAGCCAATGTTTGAGGGAGACTCTCTTGGACTGACAATGAGGCATATACGCGAAGTGATAGATGTCAAAACTGGAGAGCAGGCATGCTTTTTGGAAGGAATTGAAGCTGGATATCGCGACTTGCTTGAGGCAACAATACCGGGGCTGGAAGATATTGAGTCAAAGAGATATACTGTTCTTTTAGTGAGCAAGGCTAGCCCTACAGAAGAAGATCACAGGGAAGGGGGGCATTGCATCATACTGGAAAAGCAGATGGAGGAAGATGCATATCGGAGGGTAGGATTGCTGTCTTTGTTTCCATACCCTCTCACAAGATTCAAAGGTTGGAAGAGCGAGACCCTGAAACTTATATGATCGTCTCCGGAACCCTTTATTCGACCCAGAACTTCTGTCTATATCTATTCATCCGTATTCCTCCATGGTTTATGTACTCTATTAGATTCTAGCCTTCAGTACGAGACCGGTCTTGCATAAACGCGCACCAGCAACGGCAACAGCTCCCAGCAGCGTCACCAGGCCTCCCCAAACCTGAGCCCAGAGATGGCTCCCACCCGTTTGGTCAACAATTGCACCAGCTGTAGGAGGCCCGGCCATAACCGCAAAGGCGGATAACAAATACACAATGCCGGATCTCGCACCCATCTTCGTCGGATCGTCTGTGAGACTTGCAAGCGCCCCAATAAAGACGCATTGAGCAGCAGCAGCAGCGATACCGAAGAAGACGGAGAACACGTACATGCCTACGCGATCATGCACCCCAATCCAGGCAAAGATCATGCCGCTGAGAATCAGCATGGCCACAATGTAGGTGTTGATAGGCCCCACGAACTTGTTGGAAATGAGGCCAGCGACGGGTCTTGCCGGAATGCCAACCGCATTGGTGATGAGGAGTAGCTGCACAGATGATGTTGTATCAAAACCGATGAGGTTCCGAGCATAGCTGTTAATCTTTTCAATGAATCAGAAACGACATTTGTAGGAGGTCAAATGAGGTTTGTCACTTACATAGAAATACCCATAATAGAGTGCCCAGAAAAACAGGAACGTTCCGATTGAGAAAAGAAAGTAGGTAGGCTCCTTGAACGCATTCCACTCAAACAGAGCACCCGACTTCCGTCCTGCTAACCGCGGACGCAGGATGATGCATTCAGTCCCCGCCACAAGAAGAGCAACGAATCCGTGACATCGCACCGCCCAGGCGAAGCCGATCTTTGGCGTCACATATTGCACAATGGCAGGGAAAACCACGCTCCCGAACCCACTCCCCGTTGCCGCTAGGGCCAATGCGAATGGCCGCTTCTGGAAGAAGTAGGAGCTGATAACGCTCACGCAAGGCATGAAAAGTAGGCCTTGGCCTAACCCGGCGCAAACTCCCTGAGCGAGAAAGATTTGCCAATACTCAGTTGCTAAACTCGTCATGAAGATTCCGATAAGGGAGAGGGCGGTGCCAACGCACACAGTCGTCCTGGCGTATCCGGCATCTGCTAGTCTGCCAGCTATGGCGCACAGAAGAAAGGTGAGGAATGTCTGGATGCTACCTATCCAACTGATTTGGGAAGAGGGTAGACCGAGGGTTTCTTGGTAATAGAGTTGATAAACCCCGAACGTAGCTGGGTTTCCCCAAGCCATGCAGTTTCCCAGAGCGCCGGCAAGAACCTGTGACCACGCTAAGAGCCCGGACTCCAGAGGTTCGATCTTATCACCTTGGTTTGATGACTGGGAGGAACCTGGTATGGCCCCTTCCTCTTCGGAGCAATCATGTATATTGATGTCCGGTACTTTAATGTCCGGTGCTACTCTGATACGGGACATGATGGCAGCTTTCGGTTTAGTTGAATAGAAGACAAGGATCCACTTGACCTTACAAGAATGAGACCTAAATGTTACTTCATATGCCATGGAATCCCATCTTTTATCTTGACAGGATCTGGAGAACTCCGAACTGAAAAGTAGTCAATAATGTGGGGATACTTCCGCCTTGTGTTGACATTGGATTCAAGACCGCCTTTTGTAAACAAATTTGTGGACAGAATTTAGTCCCAAAAGGAAAAGTCCAGCATCCTTAAGTAGAAAACAAAATTCATGACACATATATTTATAAAAATGGAACGAAAAAATGGACAGTTGCTCATGTAGGGCGCCCCGAAGACGGTGTGTTCATTGAAGCCTCGAGCCAACTCTGGACTCCCTGAGACGCCTTTAAAAATTGAAAATGAATGCTTTTATAGGATTGAATTATCAAATTGTAAAACACCAAGCTCGTTGTTGGCCTTGTAATGGCTATCCGTGTCGTACGGTAACTTACAGTGGGATCCCTACAGAGTTTTCCTTCTGCATGGTTGTAGCCTTGTGCTAGTAGAGCTTACCTTTAACCTTTCGTATTTACTGTGTTGAGATGCTGAGTCTAGCATCTTCATTGCTTTTCTTTACTTCGTATTCGACCTCTCTCATCCGCAGTGTGATCACTTGGTGCTGGAGATACAGCGATTGAGCCACAAAGTTGCTGGCCATGATATTGGCAACTAATCACTATTGAGTAGCACAGCTTCATTTCCAAATAGAATCTATTCACCTTTCTCCCGCGGTACTTAACTCTCAAGAGCATTGAGAACAAGCTTCTTGTAAGATTCAACAGCTTCCTCCAGAGCACCTACAGTGACGTTCTCATTTACAGAGTGGGCGACGAAAATAGTTCCTGGGCCGTAGAGGTATTTCTTGAATTCACGGTCCAATTCAAGTTTTGGAATGTCTGTACCGTACTTCATTACATCCGTCTCGAAACCTACATTCGCAAATCGATTATTAGCAACATCTTGGTTTCGCAGATACTTTTCACTTACCCTCAACATCGCAATTTGTCTCGACAGGACCATAACCCTGGTTGCAACTGAGGAGGAGATTTTCCGAGTCAACCTCATCCAAAATATCCTGTATTTTCTCTCTGACAACTGTTGCACCCTCCGATTGAGGGCCTACCGCGACACGAACCCCAAAACCAGCGAGCGCATGATCTGCAATCACATTGTTCACAGCAATACCCTCCAACTGCCCGACATTCACCGTTGTGTTACCAAAGAGAACGCTGCTGCCTAGATCTGCCTCGAGGATTTTCTGCAGTGCTTTGATGAGGATAGCGGTGGCTGAACGGCCAAGTTCTGGATATCCGCTGTGACCCGCCACTCCGTATGCATTCAGTGTGCAGGTCATGCCTCCCTTGTGGCCGCAAGCGAGTTTTCCCTCCGTCGGTTCACCGAAGATGATGGAATTGAAAGACGGAGTGTTTTCTGTCCAGTATTTGCCAAGAGCTTTGATCCCTTCCCCTCCCACCTCTTCGCCAACCACAAACGCAAGCCCGACGTCTTCAGGGGAGATTTCCCCGGCCTCGACGAGCTCAGTGACCGCGATAACCATGGCTGCTAGGCTGGCCTTGGCATCTACACTACCTCGACCGCTGATCTGGGTATCGATAGTGATCTCCCCCTCCTCGATTGAGTAACCGATGTGTGGTGGAACAGTATCGAAGTGTGTGTTCAGCAGCACCTTAGCTCCAAGAGTGTCACTGCCCTTAGCTCCTGCGAGAATGTTGAAACGCGTGGCGTTCTCAGGCGTGTTGGATCTCGGATCCACAGGTATATCTTTGACAGCCCATCCTTTGTCTGACAGGTAGTTGTGTAGATACTTACCCGCCGCTTCCTCAAGCCCAGAATTTGACGAGATCTCGACAAGCTCTCGATGCAAATCTAGAAGGTCTTGACGGTAGCTTGGAGCTGTAGAATTCGAGGTGGATAATGCAGAGATAAGAAATACCTCAGCGAGCACACACAATGACCTTGAAGGTAGCATTTTGCAGTAACAGAAGGGCCGTTGATTCGCCAATGATGCAGATTATTCACTTTTAACAACCAACCTAAAATTGTGAGACTGTGACTGACAGGTCTTATCACAGCATTAATATGCATAAATGAACTGAAAGACAGCATTTATCCACCGTATTGCGCCATCTTCTCAAAACCTGTTGACGTTGCATTATAACATGATAAGACAAGGTTTTCGTTTCTTGGCAATCACGCAACCTCGAAGAACACCCCTCACATGGCAGTTAGTTTAAAATTATGCCTAAAGACCCCTCCCCTAGCACCGCGAGCACTTTTTTACTTTTCCCACTGGAGCCTCTGACACAAAAAAGATTATAATTAATCGTTGCGAGCACGCGTAGTCAATTCCAAGTAGATAAATTTCTTCGCGGTTCTCTTATAGAGCAAAATATTGGATAGCAAACCGTGGTCGAGAAAATTCAATACCATAGAACTGGACCCTGGGCTGGGGCAGTTTCTTTGTCCCCAACTTTTTCACCGGTATTGAAACGATGGTAATAGGAAGAACGTATTGAGTTAGCGTACAGACAAGACAATAGATGGCCGTAAAAATATAGAAAAGGGTGGACAGTGTCTGCCTTGCGTAGTAGGATATAGTCATCGCGCCGTCGTGTACATTACGTTCGCTAGTTGGTTTTCCAGCTTGTTTTTTGAAAGGGCTTTTTCTGATTTCTAGATTTGTAGAAAGATATGGCGTTCAATAGCAATCACCGCAATGTAGCAGTAGATCTTTGCTTTGTTTATTTCTCAGATGAGCGGACCAACCTTTGTTTCTGTCCATTTATTGAAGTCTCAAAACTTTATGGTGGACAAAAGGGCCCTTTTTCTCAAGCTTACTTCAATGACGAAGTAACAGTAATGACCAACATACAATCTTTTCATCCCAGGCTATATAAATCCTTGGCCCTTCCAAAATGCCATGCTCTTAATCCACATATTCCATATATACTTACCCATCTATTATACGATGTCCCTTGCTCATAAACGTGGACTTTCCACTCTTCTGGATTGCCTCGGCGATCTGATAGAGGTCATGCGCTGGAGCCCACTCGCCAAATTCATGAACGTTTCTGTCACATTCTACGAGATAAAGACTCTATTGCAGAGTAATCACTCCGTGGTATTTGGAAAGGACATGTGGGACAAGGCCACAGAATTGGTGCAGAAATGCCACCGATCCTTCGTCTTCATTACTACATGGCACGAACCTAATTGGACTGAGCGTCGTGGGTTCAGGTCCCTTGCCAAGCTCATCCTAGAGGTCGAAGGGCAGCTCAACACATGTATTGATGTTCTGAAAGTCATCACAATCGCGGCCGCAAAGTGAGTTTTCCTCCTCTCCGTCTTTCCAGTTACAGACTCAAGACGGTTTTACTAACGAGCAATAGGGACTTCGGTGAAGCCGAGAAAAGGGCGGATGGCTTGGAAAATGAATTGTCAAATCAAGAAAACCCTCTCCCCATCAACGTTGTAACAAAGCCCGATGTCGCCATCCAATCTCAAGGCGCGGTACGGAAGATCCGAAAGGAGGCGAGGCAGCTGTCGTTGCAAATATGCCGCTCTTTGTCAAACGTCCTGGATGAAGCCGCTCGCCGTGACGATCCCATTGGCTGCCCTGGAGGATTTGAGGATTACAGGTCCAGGGAGGAAGACCGGGGTCAGCTGGCAAAACGCTGGTTTCCAATCGAGTACGAGGATGAAGAGCCGGTATCTAAGCCATTTGGAGCCTTGGAGAGCAGAATTGTTGAGGTGACACAGGCGCTCGAAAGAACGGCTGGACACAATATCAAGCAGGTCGAACCTGTTCCTGCCGAGCGTTCCGATCATTCGGAGGATGAAGACTGTGCGATCTAATATTAGTGGCTCTTTTTACTGGTCTTGCGGTCTACCAGGATATCCGATAGCATACGTTTAGGCTGAGACGGGGAAATAAAGGGCGTGTTTAGACTGATCAGATTGTCATCGGTGTTGTCAGTCTTAGCATAGGATCGGATTAATCAAAGATTGGATTGGTCATGGTTGAATACCAGCAACAGCGTGTGTTTACACCGGGTACTGCTTTTTCGTGCAACTTAAGTAGTTCAACCCAACCTAAGAAGTAAAGGGGGTATCAGCATGCCTCCGTTGAACCTTTTTTACCACTTTGTCATACGCTCTCGTTCTCGTTGTCAATACCTGTTTATATACCGTTACCGCGGTCTTGGGACGTGTCACGTAGGTGAAAGTAAGGTATTTTTGTTTACTGGTCACAAGTTGGGTACAAGCGCACCCCCATTCGGCGTTGAAAGACACACATTACGCCAATGACTGTGAGATAATCCATTTCAGGCAACCATACAAGAACATTATATTACTAAGTAGGACCGTAAGCAGCCACAGATATACTAGGTCTTCCACTCTGAGCCCTCCAATGCGCCCCGAAGCAGTTGGTCAATATACGTGTCATAGCCCCCATGGCCTTCTGAAGGGTTGAACGTGGCTACTCTCTCGTGATCTTGAGACCGTAACTCGATGTCAGAGCTTTCCTCAACAGGGGCGTCCAGCTCGCGTACATTGGCATGCTGCTTCTTAGAATGCCTGCTGCCAAGCCTCGGTGAATGGTAGAGATCTGCGGTCGAACCAGACCGAGTGGAGGAGAGGGTGGATGGCCGACCGATAGATTTACCTTCTATGCCTTCTTCCTCGTCCCATGCGCTTACGCAGCTTTGCTTTCTCGTTTGAGAGTATTTGTCGTCACCTTCGTACTTGTCTCCAGAGCGCTGGGATTTGATGATAGACCCAAACTCGGTGTCGACACCGTGGATGAACGATAATTGTCCTTCCGGTGTCTTGATTAATTGGTATACATTGAAAAGACTCAAAGGAATATATTCGTAGTCTGTGTTGCTGGCAACGGACTGGGCTGAAGCCACGATTCGGAATGTCAGCATTGTGCTGGAGGATGAAAACCCGGATGATCCCCGCTTAGGCAGGTCAACTACTCCAGGGACAAGAACAGCGTCCTCGAAAAGAGGATCACGAAGTAGTTGCTGGAGGCTCTTAAGCCCCGTTCTGAAAAGCTCAAGAAATTCAGTCTCTCTCTCGGTTGGCATGTTGATGTCCTCAAGGATCTCGGAAATGGCCGCCACGGTCATCCCGTGAAATTCCTGCAAGGTCGCCAAATGCCATGATTCCAGCTTGGGAAGCGGAAGACTGACTGAGGGGAGTGAGTATCGTCCAAGCCTCTTCACATAGACATCGAATCCAGAGGTGTTAGGTCGGATGCCGAAAAAACCCATTTGAACGCCGGTAGTTCTCTCCTGTATGTCGGCGTACTGAGCCATCTGACGCAGCTTGGCTCTGAATCCCATCGACTTGATTTGCATATTGGACGCAATAATATCGCTGACATGATCGATCTCCGCAAACCGGTAGCCCGCCATGGTAAGCTGTGTGTATTCACGCTCATTTTGGACATGATGGACCAGGAACATGAGAGATCCCTGCCCGGACTGTAGATGTAACGTGGCGTACTTCTCGTAAAGGTTCTGTAAGTTGGCCCTGGAGGAATCGGTGGAACGACGGGCAGTGCCGGTGACCAAGATCTCGTCCCATAAGACTCCAGCAGAGGAATAATCCTGACGAAGACGATCGGCAAGTCGCACAGAGGCAAGGCAGAACTGGCCTCGGATAAGAAGACCTTGATCGTCAGTTGCGGGTGATTTCTCGGTTTGTTTGTGGGTGTTTTGGGCGATGTGCCTCTTCATGCCGTTGATGAGACCAGAGAGACCAGACAGATTCCGGGTTGCCTGGAACATCCAGAGGAAGTAAGGGTGGGCGATAGTAAATGGCTGTTGATCCTCCTATTTTTACAAATTGATTAGACGTGAATTTTATCATTTGAAATAATGCACAACCACTTACCACTTGAATAAAGGAATCAGTGATAGTAGTGCTGGGAAGAAGGCCATCACTATCAACCAGGATTCTCCCTTCCTTGTCAAATACAGCAGCACCCAATGAGATTTTCTGAGCTTTTTGAGCTGACTGATTCATCTTCCTCGTCGTATAGATCACCAGCCCAGCAATGGTCAGACAAGCGGCAATCGCCTATAATTCCCAGTCAGCTTTCCATTAGAGTGTGTGTTACCAGGAATATCAGGGAATACAAACCAAGCAGATGATGACGATGATGATAATCGTTGAGTTTTGCACATGATCACCAGCCCCCTCCTGGATAGACACAAGAGTATACTCGGTTCCAAGAGCAGCACACCAGTGCATTCCAGACACGGCGCCAGCGAGCAACAGGGCGGATAAGAGTCGCTTCCACCAAGCATTGGCCCACATGGAGCGAAAGATGAAGAAGATGGAGAGGGCGACGGTACTCGCAGTCAGAGCGATCAACACAGCACCAATAACATAGCCTATCTTGTAGGTGCAGGTGTAGTTCTCGATGGAGGCATTGCCGAGATAATGCATGCCGCAGACGGCAGAACCGCAAAGGAAGCCACCGAGCGATATACGAACCCAGGAGATGCTGTTACCGATGGCGATGAATGTGAGGAGCAACACGAGAATAGGCACAAAGAAGGAAATGACTGTAAAGAGCGTAGAGTAGGCGATTTGGATCTCAGGCTCGTTATCGCCCAGTACAATGGCTCTGTTGCCGACAAAGTGCATCGACCAGATGGAGACGCCTCCCATTGTCACAGCAGCGCTGGCGAGAATTACACTATTTGATGCCGGAATCACGGTTAGCGAATACAGGTCCAATGGGAATCCGATATCGATGGAATGAGGTCCATCACTGACTTATTGAAGAGACCCTTGAATCCGGTGCGGCGGTTGATCAGCTCCAATGTCGACCCTGCGCCGATGAGACTGACAATGTAGCTGAGCACAACGAAACCAGCGTTGAACTGCTGATGGACCATTTGGCCCTCATATTTGTGAAGCAGCTCATCCGGCGACATGATGCATGAATGACGACCCTGCACGAGCGGCCAGAGTTCGCGAACTGCTGATGGAACCGCGTGGGTGGGAAGATGGAGAACCAGTTCGCCCAGCACACTCGCTCAGGGCCCCTCGTCGCACTCGAAATCGAGACGAGGCCGCATTTTTGAACACTGCAGCCCTATCTCGACCCTGTTTCGTTTGCCTGTTGGTGTGCTTTCTTTTTCTGCCCCCTTGCTGCCGGTGGAGCTCAGGCGAAAGAGGTGCGGAATAGCTTCTCAGCTAGGGAAGCTAACGGGGAACTATTTTAGCCAGAGCAGGGAGTAGGGGTGTCGGAACGGTTAAATCCTGGAGCTTGGGAAAGGGGGAGCTCCAGTGGTTGGAGATCCAGAGGTGAATAGAGGAGTTTCGGTGGGGATGTGTTTCAGTTTTCTTGCGTAGGGAGACATTTGCATAGATCTATCGATCCTGATCACAATTGTCTCTCTCCTTGCCCATATGTTATTCATCACACTATTGCGGATGCTCAACTTTCTTTTTCAGGTGGCACACCATCCTACCAGATAGCCAAGCCTCCTGGTGGTCAAAGCAACCCTCCAGAAGCTGGTGATTTGCCCTAGGTTCTAAGCGAGATTGATCCAAGAGCGGCCATCACACCAAAAAGGGACACCGATGTGCAAGGGCTTATCCCAAAAGTAACCAGGATAGCGAGATGTTATCAAGGAAAGCAACCAGGCTCGGAAAAGCATAAGCCGCGCAGATCTCAGTGCTAATGCTCCCGCGATCACACCAAGGGGGCCGACCCCAGTAGCCAAGTGGAACGGAAACTCATCCCGCTGGCAATCCAATGGCTAGCTCACTGGCCGGCCGTCTCACCAGTCCGTAGCAGACCCTCAAGACGTCATCTTAGCATGCCCCGGAGTATTTTCACCCAGGCCAGGAGAGATGCGAGCAAGGAGCCCTAGACTTCACGATCCTCGTTCCCCGGCTGCTGTTTATGCGCATCGTCCTTGTGTGCGGGAATATTCTTACGGGAATCCGGGCCAAGAGATGCTCCATCTTACCCAAAGCAGTATGATGGGCAAACTTTTCTTTTCAAGTTTGTTTCCTCCTCCGTGCAGATGAGACTAACGCATGCACTTGACGGATGTGACTAGGGAAATTATCCAATGTCTGCGCCACACCAAGTCTGAAAACGGGTGTGATCCTTGCCACGCTTGATGATTTATTGTTCTCATTGTATTGGATAGATGAACAAAGGTAGGCCCGTGCGTGCAAAATGCCCGTTCGCACAACGATTATGCATTGTTAGTTGAGATGCTAAAAGAGGGCCATGCGGACTCGAGGCTTCCCTTGCCTCAAACACCTCCACAATCCGCTCTATTCTTACTTGATATCAGATGGAGCGTATGTCACCATCAAGAGCTGTATCTGAGCGTCATGGAACTTGCCGATGGGAAATGAGCGCCAAATGCCCCTGAATTCCAGCTCCGTGCTGACTGGTCAGGAAAAAGAAACGGTCGACCAGAATTCCTCCTGTAGGGGCCTCGGGCCGTTAATGTGACAACTCTCGCTGCCTGAGCAAGCCACTTCCCGTATTCCAGGGGTTTTGCGCCACGCTGAAACGGGTGAGGCAGTGGCGGGCAATATCACACTCCTTTGCCTCCCTGAATAATATCTCTGTGTGATAAATAATAATATCACCATGGTATGACATCAGTGTCACTTTGACCACGCATTTTCCCCCGAACCATCTGGATACAGCCAAGGGTAGTCAGGCTAAATCTGGATTCTTGTACTTTATTCGAAGTTACGGATGGTAATGAAGGCTAAAGTGAAAGCCATTGAAATGTGAAGGCGTCCTGATCATGAAAGATGAGGGAGGTTGCAATTGTCCCTGCAGTTGAACTCATCATACTCCCTCGTCAATACCAAATACTGTCTGGTAATCGTATTCCATGGATTCTTTTTCGTCATGTCTACTGCCTGTTTACTATTTACATTGCCCAGATAATTACTTCTAGATATGTTCATACTAACCTGACGCATATCGACCTCTTTGTCATGTAGACGCCTGAGCATGATAAACGCGCGTCAAGACATCGGGTTCCCCCACTCTTCCGACCCGACACGTGCTGGTCCCTCGATCTGCCCCTTGTTTTCCATGGCAAATCTTTCAACAGGCTTCAATGACGCGCGCAATCGATGAATCAGTCTCCAAGTCCGCGGTAGCTTCATGCCAACGTGACGCTAGCTGCTTACCTCTCCACAGTCGTTCCCTTTGAAGCCCCGGATTGGACACTAACGGCGCTTCAATTTGCGCGTTTGGACTCAACGGCCGCTTAAGTTCGCTAGTCCAACGTCTGATTGGGATCAGCGGAGACTTGAGAAATGGTTCCTGCCATTAGCTCCGTTCAGAGCGGTGGTTTGGCTTAGTGAAAACAACAAATATTACAAAGGGGTAGACGGATCCTCTCTACTCACTCAAGTCTCTTTTTTCTTTTTGATCTCGTGTTCATTGTTTCGCCTGTTCCACCCCGTCGCTCTTTAGTACCAAGTCCAGCATTTTGCTAGTCACGATGGTATCATCATTTTTGCTTGTTGGCGTCCTCACCCTTCTCTCACACACGGCTGAGGCCAAGAGAAAGTGCAGAACCTCGTCTCTGGGCGTCTCCACCACGCCGGCAAGCTGGACCGGAAGCTCGACTGTGTTGAGCCCTTCGCCCTCGTCGCCATCATCAACCCCTTCGTCGTTCTTTACAATCATTACCTCGAGAACCGAGACTCCCACGACGCCTGGAACGCCTTCTACTTCCGCGTCATCCACTCCTTCTCCCTCGACGCCTTCGTCGTCTGATTCCACACCTATCAGTTCCTCGAGCGAGCTGTCAAGCACTTTGATCTCGACCCCCATCGACAGCACGACCCCAACGCCGTCGGACTCTACCTCTGTATCATCAAGTGCAACCCCCAGCTCGAGCGATATCTCCACCAGCGATGTTTCCACAAGCACCCCTTCCACCAGCTCTTCCTCAATGGTGATTACTCCGACACCAACGCCGAGCGACCTCCCTGCATCGTCTCTCCTGCCGGCCTCTACTTCTACTTTCGTCCCCGCCGATCTGTTCCCCTGCACGGCGGATTCGGATTGCTTGAACGTCAACCAGGTGTGTGACAATGTTCGCTGCGGGTGCCTGAACCTCGTCTGCGTGCCAGTGTCTTCTACGTCGACTCTTGCCACTTCGACTTCCAGCTCTGCGCCTGCTGCTACGACTACATCCACCGGCCCCATTGCCTGCTCCTCCGACGAACAGTGTACGGCTGCAGCTTCGCTCTGCCTGGATGGTCTTCTGAATCTTTGCACTTGCGTCGACGCCGTCTGCGTACGAAGCACTACAACAGCGCCATAATCGTAATAACATTATAAAACCTCCATGGGTATCCTGACGTTGGACATCTTTGGTAGTTGGTTCGATTTACCATTTTTATAACTTAATAGATTCTATCTGACGATAGATGTAATAAAAATATATGTTAGATGTCGGCGTGTATGTGGAATCGTTCCAATGCTTCATGATTCTGGCACCTTGCCTTTCCCTAATAAATGGCATACTTGGAAAAGCAACATTAGAAATGAGCTTGAATCTCCATGCTTCTAGTCTCGGTTTAACACGTCACCTTAAGCACAGAGATTTTCGATTATTCTCAGCCTTTGAAGTGAACGTAGATAGGTAGACGATTGTCAATTGTTGAAGCGGACTGCCGGCCGGTTCGGCAGCCTACCCTGCACTACAGGCGGGATTTTATGTTGTCTTGAGGTAGTGACATATTCACGCATCAAATATAGGTGTGAATAGTATACTTATTCCATGAAACAGATGGGCTTTTTGGAAATGTAATTTAGATGTTCTTCCAATATTACCTCGTTCGTTTGCGTCGCTTTCTTTGAATGGTTGCAAGAGTCTTTCGTTAATGATCCAAGGTATAGAACCGCCCAACAAGGCCATCGCTGTTATAAATTAGAAATAATTCTACCTGAAATGTATGCAACTTTACATTGGTTCTCTTATTGTTCTTACACTGCTATCTGCGCTCCATTTCCAACGGTGTTGGGTCGAGCATGTTGCGATATGCCAAGATGCTTAATCCGCAAACTTGCTCCAAGCCCTTATCCTCGGACCATAACGGTAGAAGACGAAGGCAATCGGAATAAGGGCGATAGAAATAGAAGCCCGGTATGCTGCTAGCCCAACCGACACCAAGATTGTTGTACATCGCGTGTGTAAATATGGGGAACCTGTAGGAAATTCTCGTTAGATAAAGAGGATTGAAACCCGAAAAGTGACGGGATGACTTACGCAGCAGCAAAACCACAACGTAGAAACTCATTAGCGGCTATTACTGATGCTGCATATTTGGTGTAGCCCATCGCCAAGTACGTAGTGATACCTTGCTGCCCAGGTGACCATCGAGGCCATCCTTGCTTGAGATATACTAGCACATTTGCCACTGCACCACTTGCTTGTGGTCAGAAGTTTCATTCGTTGCAGTAATTGATTGAGTTCGAGGAGGAGTTTCTCAAGTGCCATGTAGCTTTAATTTTATCAATTGAAGCCAATCGGAATACGTGGCAGAAGTGTCAGAAGTCAAATGCAATGCACATTCAATAAAACATACGATTGCCCTGATCTTCTACTACTTAGCCACTGATGCCCTCGGTATCCCCAATTCTAAAAACATATTTTGAAAAGTGTACTTGTCCATGGTGCAAGTTTTCCAAAGCCTGGCCAACGCCATAAAGCCCACCAGGCATGACTTCATGCGGATGAGGCCGAAACCACCCTTCCTGTATCCCCTGGCTAATGTATCTTGAGAATACAAACCCGAGCTGCTTTTCACTGGAGTGCACGCGTCCCACAGATGTATAAATGACGTCAACACCATCAGGAACCCCAAGTAGCGCTGGTACTCGAAAGGTCTCAGGTATAGAGAAGTCCCTGGGAAGGCGAGCCCGGCCTCTGGGCTGGACGATAGACATCCGAGATTTCTCGGGGCTGATCACAGAGCCGATGATTCTGTCACTTCCGTGGTCAGAAACTGCGTCAAAGGCATAGAGCAATGGCTTCCCTCCCAAGGCATGTTTGATCGATGACACTGTCTGTTCAGCCCCCAAACGGTAATCTATAACGACATCTCCATGAACAGGATTCATGAATTCTCGTATCTGAGTAGTCGACTGCCCAGCCACACAGATAATGGGATGAAGATTACTTCTTTGGGCTAGTTGAAGTGCGTAGTTTCCCACCGCTGTTCCGGCACCATAGATGAGCAATGGCGCGGCTCCCACTGTATCTTCAACTCCGGCCCAAGGGTAGGGGAGCTGAAGATCATGATACAGTGCCACTGCTGCTGTCAAAAAGGCAAGGGGAATCGTAGTTGCTTCCTCGAAGGATATATTGGTGGGTTTATGAAAGGTTGTATAAGCTGGTGCAATAGCGTATTCGGCAAATGATCCGTGAGGTTCGTACATCTGATGGAATGCTGCGACATGATCACCAGGCTTGAACTCGAAAACACCGCCACCTATGGCCTCGACGACACCAGCAATGTCATCTCCACTATTGGCGGCCGGCAAATACAAAGTTTGTTTACAATCCTTTGGATTACAGCCACTAGCGATAACCCTGATCAGGACCTCGCCGTTTTGAGGTATCGGAATCGGAGAATCAATAATCTCGATGCTCGTGCCTATATGCGATTAGAGCGGCATAAGTAGGGAAGTATGATCATAGTACTATACCATTCGACACAATCACTTCTTTCATTTTAACAGTACTTTAGTTTAAGGGGGAAAACCCTTACAGAAGAATAATATAATAGTAGATTATAAAAATAAAGAGTAGATCATGGAAATATAATAGTAGATCAGGGAGACAGTGTCTCAATTTATACCTGAGCTTGAGACTGGACAATCCATATAAATCCGTGAAGTCCGCAGCTCACGTATGTCACTCCGCTATGATCGTCTCAAGCAGGATGAAATTCCGCGAAATGCTGCTTCTAGTGCAGGTACGATGGCGGAGATCAGTCCAGGTCATCGGCTCGTCTCCCCCACAACACTCAAAGTCGGCATTCGGTGCAACTCGGCTACTTTTCAAAATCGGACAAGCGGCCTTTATAACTGCCCGAGGCATTTCATATATGAATGGTTCACCTGACCTCTCTGTCTCTCTCGAGGATACCCAGCCTAGCCCGGCTATTGTCTTTACCTAGGAGCGTAGCTTCGTAGGTACGGACCGGAGCGATTTTTCACCGGCACTTGATAGTTCTTTTTACTTATGAGGTAATATATATATATATATATATTCATTTATAAAATATATTATGCAATCTTGGAACATACTTTTAGTAAAACTAGTATAAATTCGCGCTATATTTGTTCATGGCCGAGCGCGTGATGAAATTGCGTTTTGCCCTGGATTGCTGAGGACCTTGATTTTGAACGACCCATCTCAAAGTACGAGCTGTATGGAGACAATGAGATGTTGGCGTTTGTGTGCAAAGAACAGGCTGTTCTGGTCCATGTGCCAATGGAACCATGGTCATGCAGTCCGAGGCACTCATCATTCATTATTGTTCGTTATGAAGCGGCTACTACTTAAAACTGCTTGAAAGCCATCTCCAAGACGCGTGAATTGAATACAACATGTGGCTTGTATGTAATTGAGGAAACGAGAATGTAACATATCCTTTAAGCCAAGTCGAGGGGATACATACGCTTAATTAGTCCCTTAATAGCCTCCTCGCGCACGCCTAGAGTTTCCTTCTCGAGATACCCATTCCCTTTCTTATGCACATCAAAAACGAAGTTAGTGCGGCTGGGTTCTTCGAATAGAGGCCACTTTAGGCAGGATACTAAGTAACATTAGCCAATTGAAGAAGAGTCTTGCAGGTGGTGTACAAGCATACCTTCGTTGTAGTTGGGGTCCAAGTTGATGAAGAAACTGATCCACATTCTGCTCATTATATTGGCTAGCTCCTTGGAGTGTTTAGGAACTTCACTTCCTCCCTGCTGCTCGATACTATTGAAGACGAAGGGAACTTCAGCAAAGTGTGTAGCACCCATATGTGGTCCATCAGTGGTCACATTGAAGTGATAACTATACAGCGTGGCGCCTGTCTTGGCTAGGGCATCAGTCATGAGACGGCGAGGGCCGTGCATAATCAGATCACCTGCAAAGGCGGCTACGCGCTTGTACTGAGCGCCGAGGTAAGCCAGATCGCCTGAAGGCCGTCCATGGAGAGTTGCAGGCGTACCGACCGCCGGGTCATCGGGGTATAGTTTTGCCAGCTCACGAACACCGTCTTCATCGACGCCCGTTGCTCTCACCAGGTTGAGAAACTCATCGTCCGTGTTAATACCCTGCTGAGCAAACGATGTTCCTTCATCAGTGTTGATTCCCATGAGGAGGGGAACACGAGGGAGCTTGCCCTCTGCAATCTGTTTCTGGGTGGTTGTCTCGAAAAAGTCACCGTCAACGACATGGCCCCAGTCACGACTGAATCCTTCCAGGGGCGCCTCAAAGGCTTTTGTGAGTTTGCCAGCGGGCACATCCCTCAGGCACGAGAGTGTGTCCGTCGTATTTGCACAGCCCGTTTGACTGACGATGTGCTGATAATAAGGCTCCCAGTCGTCGGCAAAGATTGGGCCATTCGGTTCTGGCCAGACGGGCGCGCCGCTCTGCATGACGGCACCGCGAAACAAACCATCGTCTCGCCCGCCGTGAGCCAGCAGCTGCGCGCCAACACTCCACGCTCCCGCACTCTCGCCAAAGATAGTGACCTGTTCAGGATCGCCACCAAAGGCGGCAATATTCTCCTGCAACCAATGTAGCGCAAGACGCTGGTCACGGTAGCCCAGGTGAGACGAACCCTCTTCATGCAGCAAGTTTCCATAGAGAAGCCCCCAGCCGTTCAGACGATAGTTGAAACTGGCAGCAACGATGGGTGTGCCCATCTCAACGGACTTGTTGACAATGAAGGACAGATTATAGCTCGATTCGGACGAACTACCATCGACGAGGCCGCCACCATGAATCCAGACAGCCACGGGCAACTCATCATTTGCCTTGACGCCAGCAGGTCGCACGACGTTGATGGCCAAACAGTCTTCTGACATCTCACTTCCAGGCGGCAAGTTGTCGCGGGTTGGCGACCAGCAGGCCGGAGCATATGCGGCTGCATTACGAGATCCAGACCACGAGGAGCTCAGCGACTGTGGTGGTTTGAAGCGGAGCGCTCCAACAGGAGGCTGCGCATATGGAATGCCCAGGAAATGGTGCTGGTCAAACGAATCTTGGACGAGGCCAGTGTACGTGCCGTTACGCACTTGAACTACCGCCGGGGCGCTGCTTGCGCTGACGGCGGTGACAAGGAATGCAAACGAATGGTGCGCGAGTTTCATCTTTCGAATTATTCACAACGAATGATGGGTGCATGTGTGTTTGTCTCGCAGTGACTTATGCGTTGAAGGCTTACATCTTATATTAGTCTAGAGACATATCAAGCTACGTGCGGCCTTGCGATTCAGGACCTGGACGTGGACATCATCTATTGGTTCCACCGTATAGAACTTGCAACATTGAACGCGCTATCCAATCACGGAGCATAGACAAATGGGGACAAAAGATTAAACAGTATTTCAGTGCCGGTTGTACCGTCTAAAACCTACTCAACTGCCGGAACTTATATGCAGGCGGACCATGAACCAGCATTCGGGCCATGGCACGGGGGTTCCATATTTGACAGGGGGAACCCCTAAGTATATTACATATAACCAGCTCGGCTATATATCTGTAATTCTAACCCGGTTAGGGGGAAACGGAGAAAAAGTCTAATGTCACCGCGATAAGGAACAGAGCTGAATTCCAACCCACCGACTGGCTACTGCGTATATTAAACCACTCTTTGCACGTTCGTACGTATACGTATCGGTGCCCGCGGCGCCCCGACCTCGGGGTGCGCCGGTCATTGATCGGAAGAGAAGACTTTACAACCGTGCACAGTTTATAAACACTGAGCTACGGATCGGCTTGTACAGAGTTCCTTGGATGAACTTGGCACGTTCGAAGCAAGAGACAAAGAAGCGGGAGAAGGAAACCAGGAATCCTTAATAGCTATTGGAACAATAATGGGTACGAGTCGTGAAAATGTTTGATCGAGATCAGGCTTTTGAACATACCCATGAAAGAGAGGCGAAGTTTGGTAGTAGACGCGTTTAAACGGCATGGGCTGTGAGACGAGATGTAAATTGCACCCACGGATATAGACAGCCATGGAAAGCATTTAGCTTAATGATGAGCAGCGAGCACGAGTAGCCAGCATTGGTTATCATATGATGGATAGAAATACTACATATCTTTAGGTTCTACTGACCCTAGTATAATTGTAAAAGATATATCTACGTTCCCAGATTTGCTTCCTTTTTTTACGCTTCGGCTGGGACGAATTCAAGCTTGCAACTTGTTCCTTTCGGACGGGATACAAGAACCTGGTCATCGAGATCCATACAAGCGTCCATGTCCTTGGCTGGGATAGTACGGTACCGAGAATAGACAGCATGCAACAAAGACCTCATCTCAGCTTGTGCTAGGCTGCGATAATGATGTTATTAGCAATAGTTCCGTTCAAATATGAGGGGAGAACATATGAACTGGAACTTACAATTTTCCAATGCATTGCCTAGAACCACCTCCGAAGGGCAAGAACACCCGCTGTCGATCCACCGATCCTTCGTCGTTTAGCCAACGCTCAGGTATGAACTTGAAGGGCTCGGAAAAGGCATAGTCAAGTCTGTGCAGCGAATATGACGGGACGCCGACTATTATATTGCCAGGTATCATGTATCCGTCGATTAAGCGTCCACCAGAAGGCACGTGACGAGGGAGAGTGAGCGTACCGGGTGCCCAGAGTCGCAGGGCTTCTTGTACCACTGCGTTGAGGTATGATAAGTTGGCGAGATCCTGCTGAGATGTGGCAGTCTGTAGTTCCCGGCGGAGACTCATAACTATTGGCCCAGATCGAGGCTGGGAGAGTTCCCGTAGCAAAAAGCAGAGACAGTCGCCTGTAGTTTCCACACCGGCACCCATGTGATCCATGCACTCCGCTCTGGTTAGTGATTCCGGAAAGTCCTCCAAAGATTTCAATCGAGATACAAGCGTGAAGTCAGAATGATCCGACTTGGCCAATGTTTCGTCCATGTATCGGCGAAGCTGATCTCGTCCTCGAGTCCTTTTGTCCTGCTGGCCAGGCACCATTGCGTAATACACTGACATGAGGGCTGGGAAATAATAGCTGAGGTACGTAGCTTGTATTTGTTAGCGCAACCTAAAGGTTCGTGTAAATTCAATCAAACTTGCCTTCTCTGACATTGGCGTAGGAGAAAAGGTGCACCATATCCCGGTCATGTTTTCTATCAAGAGAATGAGCGTTGTAGGGGTGGAAGAGCATGGATGTAACGCAATCCAACGCGTAAGCGTGAAGATAGAGCTGAACACTTCTTAGCATGGCTTCTGTATTGCAAATATGGCAGGAATAGGCTCACATAAACATCGGCAGACCTTGTAGCTAAGCATTGCTTGACGAACTCTTGAGCTCGTTCAGCAATCGAATCCATGACTTTCGACTTCAAGATATTGCTGTTGGAATACCGATCTGCGAGAGGCTTTTTGATTTTGGCATGCTAAGAGCCATGTCAGCGATGGTCAGGCAAAGATGTTAACTCTCACTAGACAGCCTACCACGTGAGGATCTCGGGCGGTGAACAAGTTACTATGCTTGTTAGATAGTTTGCAGACATGTTTAGTTCAGGTGGCATCTCACATGTGTCCACGCTGTTGAAAGATATCATAGAAATCTGTTTTCTCAAAGTCCTTCGAGCCGCTCACATAAATCTGTTTAGCTGCTGTGTAGCTGACAAAGGATACTTCGTTATGCGCAATCTGCACGACTGGCCCGTACTTCAGGTGTAGCTGGTGAATCCATTCTCTCCTGTGGCCCAAAGCTTCGACGTAAATGACGCAAAGATTGGTGAATTTGAGATACCACGGGCCGGGTATTTTGAAAGTAGTAGGTAAATGAAGCGACTTTAGCCACCATCCAAGGCCGATAGCGACAACAAGAATCACTATTAGCGAGACTGGCCGCAAATCTTTGACGTGTTGTTGAATATTAGTCCCCCACTCAGACATGATGAGGGAACTATTTTCTGGGTATTGGTAAGCTTGGATGCACAGCAGAATTGAGGCCTTGACTATATGAAATAGACAAAGAAGTTCTTGACGGCGTTCCCTGCGCCTGATATTTAATCACGACGTATGTAAAACTTGGCGTCCGGCTCACTGAATATTTTCTTCTTCTTTTTTAGAGGAGAGGCAGACTTTGCGCTGCGGCGCGTCGTGATTGTGCGATATACCTCGTACTCAAAGTGTAAGCGATGCAGAAAGTATCGGCGTCTCTCCCTCTGGTTCACTCCAAACAACACATACCATCTCACAAGTGGAGGTAAATGTTCTAGCAATTGACAATTTGACACATACCAAGTGTCGCAAAGCCCTTCTTGGTATGGCCTAGCGCCTGTTTCGCAGTTTGGTAGAGGCCCGGAAGCTGTGGTAATAAGGCCTGGCGACATTCGGCTCATCTGTATCATGGAGGAGGTGTCCGGGTCGCATGGCACATCCTTTTTAGGTATTAAAGCCGCAGGCAAGGAGCAGTGCATATAACCGCTCTGGGCCCCCGTTGTCGCTTCGCTATACTGTATGGGGAAGCTAATGGCGACAAGATGGGCGATCCTGGGCAGGATGATATGGGTCTATATGCAACAGGGCGTCGGTGACCTCGTTTTTGATGTGACCGTGATAGCATGATATGACAAACTAGATTTATTGACGTATTCAAATAATGCTTATCTCGGCCCCTCGGCGCCTAGCCGCCTCATCCAAGTCGAAGCCATCTACTCCTTTCTCCCAAGCCTCATCTAGTATAGCAAACAGCATCTTGATGTCCCTAGACGGCCCATTGGCCATTTGCCGCACCTTGATTCGCATATTTTGCAGATGTTGATGCCATGCAGGCCGGACTTTCAACACGGAGACCTGCATGCTGGCGTATACCAGAGGGTAGAGGGCCACATGCTGGACTTGTAGCTTTTGCGTGCCTTCCCAGTTCTTGTCATTTAGGACGGCGCCAAGGCAACTTAAGAGCCGAAACAGAGTTTGTTCTGTTGAGGCGTTGTCGGTTGCCCTCAGACGATAAGAGGCGGACCGCCGGTATTGCCTGTGTCTCACCTCAAGCATTGCGGCATATCGATAGCTCTCCCATAGCTGGTGTTCACAAAGGTCGTCACTTGTTGGCCCTACCCATGACTCAAGTTCCCTGCCCAGAATATCCCCATCTTGATGGTCGGCCAACTTGGCCAAAATATCAAGTAAGGTACGTGGTAAGCCAGTACAGGCCCCCGTTTGCCCATCAAATCTGTTGTCCCATGTTGCCTGAAGCTCGCGAAATTTGGCCCACAGCCCTCTAGAAGGGTATTCTCGGCCTAATACTATAGCTGAGATATCCAGGAGACATATGGTCTCCAGTTGGTAGCGCATACTAAGATGGTAGAATGGGTTGGGTCTTATCTGCGTTAACTCGTTACCATAGCACGAAACGTCAAGTATCTGATACATGGTTGATGTCCACGATAGACCTTGAATAAGCTAGCCGCTCAAGTCAGATTTGGTGTTATCAACGGATGCACAGTGGCCCTGGGATACTTACGTGTAATATGCATATCATGAATCCTGTGGTGAATAATTCTTCTCGGGCCACATGTCTTGATGATGAGATCAGGTCCCGGAACATTGCTAAAACCCATCCAGTATGCTCCAGAACTGAGATAGAAGGACCCTCGGATATGCAACGCTGCAGGACAATGCATACGAGCTTGAGTACCCGAGACTTCAGCACTAGATCTCTCAAGTCGGCCAAGAAGGGCCTGTTCACAGACCTGGCTGTTAGTGTCTCGATCCCTTTGAGAAAAACTTACAAGGAAAGTCAATGAGTGCGTATACATGAGACAGGGAAGACAAGAATGAGAGCTTCATACAATTTTCCAAGAGTGCTTGGCTTTCTGGGTCGTCGACTGATGGGCTTGCCGAGTTGGACACATGACTGGCGGAGACCACATATCCAACCGAAGACACCGTGGTCGGAGTGTCGCTCAGCGGCATAGCAGCACTCGAGTTGCGGGAATCACAGCACATGCTGACCTCCTCATGTGCCCCATGGGGCTGGTCTGTCCCATCTATCCATTCGGTTTCCGGGGTCGCACTTGCATGCGCAGCTGATTGCGGAGAGTGATCTCGGGGGTTCGTATTGGCCGACGGCGAGCTTTGAAGCATGGCTACTTCAGATGCCGAAGGCCCCTGGACTGCAACCACGTTGGTCCATTTGAGGCGCCTGCCATAACCTCCGCATTCCACATCTCGGTTCAGGCACTGCCCGCACTGTGGCCGGCGTTGATCGCATTTCTTCTTGCGCTGTCGACACGTAACACAACCGAATCGCGATCTGGTAGCCATGGATTATGTTGGCACGGAGCGTAATTGTGGATGGGGCAACGGCTTGAAAGGACGACGCGCAAAGATGTTCGGATCAAGGCAAAAGAAGCGAAAAGAAGGGAACTTGCAGATCTCGTCACCCTTATCAAGCCTTGGCCTTACGGTTAGCCGACAGCATGCACGGTATCGGAGCTAGGGGGCGAGACATGACCACCTGTTCCAGCCGATGCGCGGAGATATGGCTAGTTTTACCCCAGACAACAATGTGGACTCTAACTCTACACCCAGCCCACCATCGTCTGTGTATGGGTATTACCAGGCTAAGGGGCTATTCACGTCTTATCTACAGACAGCCTTGTCAGGATGTTTAGAGAGCCCAAATATATATAAACTCCCGCACCAATGGGGAGAGAGGTCACTGCTTCGCCCCTTACTCTCAATAGCCTCAGTAGTTTTAAAAGGTCTTCAGCTTCGATTCCCTGCTTCGCTGCTCTTTCTGCCAAAGAGCTATTTGACGTCCCCATTGAAACTATGGCTAACTTCAGTGGTGACCATACGGAACACCCGCCGGGCACATTCTTGATGGCTGACCGTAAGTTATTTTTCACATTTAGCGAACACCGTACTGTATCATCTCTAATCTTTGTTCTTGTTATAGATGACGCCGGAAGTGACCCGAATGTTATGTCTCTTCATCCCAAGCCTTCAAATGATCCCAACGACCCCTTGGTGAGCAATCGTATGCCCTAAAAATGTATCCAAATTGTAGCTGAATGGATCCAGAATTGGAGCATAACTCGTAAAGTTTTTCATCTGACACTTCTCATCGCCATGACAACTCTGGCTTTCACCTTGTGGGCGATCCTAAGAACAGGCTACTGATAAAGCTAGGGTCGCGGTGCAACCAACATTCTGGCCGCAAATGACAGTTGACCTACACACGTCTATGGACACTCTTAGCCATGGAAACAGCAGCAAGCTCGCCGGGCTCGCGATTGGTGGTTTTCTCATCGTTCCCTTCGCTGTTAAATACGGACGTCGACCAGCCTACATATTCTCCACCGCTTTGATGACAGCCGCCTCCTGGTGGTCTTCTCGACTTCAATCATCTCCAGAGCAGATAGCTGCCAATTTTCTGACGGGTGTATCAGGCTCTGTGAATGAAGCCTGTGTACAGATGACGGTCAGTAATTCCATAGCTCCCAGCCAGCAATGGACGCCTTTGCCCTTTAGAAACCGGTTTGACCATTTCTCCCCCACAGATTGCCGATTTGTTCTTTGTTCATCAGCGAGGTCGGGCCAATGCAGGCTATTTCTTCGCCATTCTCTTCGGGACATACGTGACGCCCATCGCAGCCGGATCTCTCGCTGCCACAAAGGGCTGGCGCTGGTCATACTACGCTTTATCTATAGCCTTGACAGTTGAGACATTACTTCTTGTTTTCGGCCTCGAAGAAACAAAGTTCGTGCTCCCTACCTTATCACCGACCGGGGACAGACACGCACTGGCCACAATGGCGGATCGAGACAAGTTGGCAGTGGCACAACATGGCCCTATGCCTGATGGCAAGCCAGACTTGGTCCTAGAGCAACGCAATTCTATGCAGAATGCTTCAGCGACACTCATTCTCCCCCACACCTATTGGGAACGCATGCGACTAATCACAAAGACCGATGAGAATCTGCTCCAGGTCCTCTTGAGGCCTCTCTACGTCGTCCTTCTGCCACACATCCTGATCACCTCTGTGGCCTTTACCTTCCCAATTACATGGCTTGTGCTAGTGATCATTATGAACCCAATGTTCTTCGCTAACCCGCCCTACAACTTTACTACAGCGGTTGTGGGCTATATGAACATTGGACCTTTTATCGGCTCACTTTTTGGTCTCTTCTATGGCGGGATACTCTCTGACTGGTCTGTCAAGTGGTTGGCAAGGAAGAATGGCGGACTTTACGAGCCAGAAATGCGGCTCTACCTCTTGATTGGTCCAGCATTTGCTATGTGCGGTGGTCTGATACTCTACGGCGTCACAGCAAGTGCGGTAGGTCACACCAAGCCTTATGAGCTCAGAATACTGAATTGCTGACAGTCGACAGGGCGCACACTGGATTTGGCCCAGCATCGGCGGTGCCCTCTTTGCGGCCGGTTTGGGAGCGCATGGCGATATAACGTTTACAATGATCATCGACACCTATCGTGAAGTAAGTTGCCAATCTGTGTGCTTTGAATTAGGAGGAATACTTACATCGCGTGTGACCAGGTCGTGGCAGAAGCTTTCATCAATGTCACCTTTATTCAGAACCTTGGTGGCATAATCTTACCACTGGTTCGCCCTTCTGTTCAACGAGTCCTCGGTCCAAGAAACCAGTTTATCTTAGCTGGAGGTATCTCCATGCTTGTATCGTTTATGTTCATCCCGCTGTACGTATGGGGGAAGCAGCTGCGGATCATGTCTGCAGGCCGATACTATGCTGCTGTTGAAAAGGTAACTCGATGATGTAATGCTGAAACTAGTCGTTTCTTTCAGTCAGTCCCTCTTCAAATGGATCTCTATTTATAGTGTTAGATCGTCTACTATCTTACTCTCACTCTCTCCTCTTTGGTACAGCAATGTGTCAAAAGTCTGCGATCACCCAGGGGTGCCCTTCCCACCCTAAACCTCAATTTTCTATAGTAAATATCTGTGCCAAAAAGAATCCAAAAATTCCAAAGATAATCATTTAATATATATCTAGTATTAAGCTACTTATATATATCTTAAAGGGAATTTTAGAAGAATTTTTTTTTTTTATAGTAATTACTATATATAAGGGGGATATCCCGAGATCAGGCTATATATAACTAGATCTATATAATTTAGTTTTACTTATTTCCAGTCTATATCTAACCTTTAACTCTATTTTTTTTAATTTTCTATTTATATAAGCTATAGTAAGGTAATAGCTTTATTAAAAACTTAAAGAAGCTCTTATTAAGTATATAACTTAGCTATAGGCCCTAAGAGGGGATATTTATTATCTATAATTAATTATAAAACCTTTTAAAGTAAGTTTATTATTATAAATTATAAATTACTAAATACTAACTATCTCTCCTTATAACTAATTATTACTAACTATCTCCTTATAACTGGTTATTATAATAATAGCCTTTATAAATATCTTTATCCTCAGCAGCCAGAGGCCTATACTAGTGCTTAACCTAGCCCTTATATATATAAGGGAGATAATCAGTAAGAACCCCTAGGGCCTTATATATAATATATAATATTCCAGCTTATACTTTATAACCAGCTTTCTTACTACTATAAGACTGATTATACTAGTATAAGCCCAGGAGCTACAGGTGCTTGGGCATAAGTTATACTGTGCAGCCTGTAAGGACCTAGAAATTAAATTAGTCTGTCTGTTATTTCGTTAGAATCATGGGCCGCCGAATAGATTCCAATAGAATTATATTGAATTATTGAAAAGTATATTTATTCAAGGGAAAAGTTTGATTAATTAAGATTAATCTAGTAGTATCAGGGTTATAATATATTAGTTAATTACTACAGTAGAATTTTTAAATAAAAGTTTAATAGCTAATCTCGTTACTATATACTGATTGAATAATATAATATTTTTCTATACCGTGTTAGAAGAATTTTTAATAAAGTTAATAGGGAGGTAAAATAAAAAAAAAAAAAAAAAAAAAAAAAAAAAAAAAAAAAAAAAAAAAAAAAAAAAAAAAAAAAAAAAAAAAAAAAAAAAAAAAAAAAAAAAAAAAAAAAAAAAAAAAAAAGAAAGAAAGAAATTAGGCGTAAAATTTACTATCCGCACTCTATCCTTCAGCCGTTATTCTTAGTGATACAACCAAAGAGCAAGTGTTCTAGTCTGTTCGGGTTTCAGAAGTTCGAGGCTGGAATGAATGTCTTCCTGTACATGCCCAAAAACGCCTTTGGTTTTCACAGCCTATCCTTTATAATACTCGGACGGGAAGCAGTATCTAGTCAAAAGAATAACAAGTAGATAATTGAAGCATCCTCAACTCTTTATATCATTTATCTTAGATTTAGGCTATATCAATGAATTCGGATGAATACTCCCCGAGGGTCAGCTGAAAGGGGACAACATCTTGTTCCCGAAAACCCCGCAACCAAATACTGCACCAGTGAGATGCTTCAGAATCCTCCGATCATCATATACTTGTAAACGCTACTACTACCCCTCACCTGTCCGGGAGACTGCACGATCATGTGTCTTTGTGTCTAGGCTCGAGATGTGGTATCAATCGAACGACCCGTCGGGATCGATCATTTATTGGATCAATTACGAGCATTTGGTATTAGCCGGCTTGGATCCGACGGGTGCTATGAAGTTGAGTTATAGTTATGGATATAAATATGAGCACTTGTAATCTCACAGGCTTTGGCCATAATGCGAGAAGTCTCATAGAGCTCAGCTCACTCTAATTATACCGAACCATACTTGAAGATGCGAAAAGGAACAGCGCAAAGCGATGTCAACACCAAAGACATATCCGCCACATCGGAAGTCGACCGATTGCTAGAGCTAGACAAGGTCCCATGGTATCGGAAGAAAAACCTAAAAAGCTTGTACCTCTGCTTGGTTCCCGCTGCGTTGGGAGTTGAGATGACTACCGGTGAGAAGATGCAACAGCCGCTGTAAGGTGATATAACACAGCTGACCGTCGACATTATGTAGGCTATGATGGTAGCGTTCTCAATGGGCTCCAAGCAGTGGACAAGTGGCAATCTCACTTTGGCTACCCCGCGAGCGCAACCCTCGGTTTAATATCTGCTGGTCTTTCCATCGGGTCTATTGCCAGTGTCCCAGTTCTGCCTTATGTCAACGACCGTTGGGGTCGTAAGACTAGTGTGATATTGGGATCTCTTGTTGTCACCGTAGGGGTGATAGTTCAGACATTGGCTGCTAATTTGGGTATGCTCATCGCATCCCGAGTTATCATGGGCTTCGGTATGCCCATTGCCTTGTCCGGGGCCGCCCAGCTGTTGACTGAGTTATGCTACCCGAAGGAGCGCGCTGCTATAACTGGCATCTTCCAGGTCTTTTGGTATGTTGGTTCAATTATCGCAGCGGGGGCTACACTTGGGACATATAGTTGGCCTACACACTGGAGCTGGCGCTTGCCTACGCTCCTCCAGATACTCCCCTCTCTGTTCCAATTGTCTTTTATTTGGTGAGTAGAACGATGGCTTTATAAGACTCCTTTTGAAGCACCAGCTAACTTGAATCGAGGTTTGTTCCCGAATCCCCACGCTGGCTCATATCGCGTGATAGAGCAGATGAAGCCCTCGAAATTCTTATCAAATATCATGGAGAAGGTGACCGGGATTCACCCTTTGTGGCAGCAGAATTCCACCAAATTCGTGAAACCCTTCGCCAGGAAAAGGAGGCATCTGCAAAGCCCTGGCGAGATCTTTTCAGCACGCCAGTCAACATTCGCCGCGTAGCTGTTGCAGCCTGTGTCGGCCTCTTCTCTCAGTGGGCTGGGAATGGGCTCGTGAGTTTCTATCTCGCCAAGGTTCTCGCGACAATCGGCATCAAGGACCGCCGGACGCAGAATCAGATCAACCTCGGCTTGAACTGCTGGAACTTGGTCACCGGCATGTCCGCAGCCAGCTTCGGTACACGGTATTTAAACAGACGCACGCAGATCTTAGTCGGTTATGGATGCATGACTATTGTCTTCTCGTGCTGGACGGCTGCCTCGGCTATTTATGCGGGGGACAACACCAATCACTCTGCTGCCATTGCCGTCGTGGCGCTCATTTTTATCTACTACCTATTTTACAATCTGATGATGCCCTGCCAGTACCTGTATGTGTCTGAGGTGTTTCCCTTCATTCAGCGAGCGAAGGGCGTGGCAATCATGCAGCTCACGAACAAGGGTGGTGGTGGGTTCAATCAGTTCGTGAACCCTATCGGGCTGGACAGCATTCAGTGGCGTTATTACATTGTTTATGTTGTGCTCTTGGCCGTGGAGACTTTTGTTATTTGGCTGATCTATCCAGAGACAAAGGGAGTCTCTCTGGAAGAAATCGCCGTTGTGATGGAAGGCGATAACGCAAAGGTCGAGTTGGTTGGGGCAGGCAAACAGGAGAAGGAGCTGAGAGTCTAAATTGTCCAATTGCTATCGAAGCACGTGGTCCAACGGTTTTGGGTGATGTTACCTGACTGCTTCTATCATGCATCTATGCTAGCTGTGTTTTGTAGCTATATCTGGACCATCTTCTCAGCTGTCGGTGTGTCTTAATTCTCAGTGGAATTAAACTCCTCCAGTAGTTGTGCGGGAGTTTTCCCGTTCGCATCCTTTGAATTAGAGGGTGCCTCACTATCCTCGAGTAACTTCATGGCATCAACCTGGCCTTTTGAGGCGGCAAAATGCATCGGCGTCCAGTTGTTCCAGTTAGGATCGACCTCGTTCACATCCGCACCATGCTGCAGCAGGAGGCGCATAGTATCGAGCTGTCCAAAACGCGCAGCAGCATGCAGTGCACTGGTTTTAGGGATTGTGACACCGTGTTTCAACAACATCTCAGTTATACTTGGTCCGTTAGCCATTGCACCGCGGGACAAGAGAGACGAGTTGTAGGTCCCAATTCTTCTGGACGGCTGGACAGGACGCGATGGGTCCGCCCCAAGCTCGAGCAGCAAAGCGACCAAGTCCGGGGCCCGTACCGTTACGGCCTCGTAAATTGGAAAGGTACCGTGACTGACTTGGTTGTGGATGATGTCTGGGTCTGCGGCTGCTAGTGCTTTGAAAACAGCGGTATGCCTGTGCAAAATAACTCTGTATACCAATGACCTCGTTATGAGAGAAGAAGTGTCGATGCCTTTTTGTGTGGCAAAGGAAAGTAATACGGGTATCATTGTAGCATGGCCATCTCGAGCTGCGGTTGTAAAAGCCCTTTCCAGGTTTGAAATTCGACTGATCGTCACCTCCCGCGCATCCTCCGGACCTTCGCTATGGCGATGCTCGGAAATGATAGCGTGCTGTTTTTCGAGCATTATCTTGATCCATTGTGGTTGCAATAGCAAGCTCTGCAGGGCGATGTCATCGCCAGACGAGATTGCTTCAAAAATTGGGCGGGCGACGTCCTCGCCAATAAGCACATCACCGATAGCTCGTGTCGAGCTGTAGCTGTGTCCCTCCACTAAATTCACTTTATCCAATTGCGCCATGATCAAATGATGATGGTGATCACGAGTGCTGGCGTGGTGAAGGTGTTAAATATAATAGGATGAAGCGGGGTTGAGACTCTAGGGATATATGAGGAGGCCAGTGAGCGACACAGCCTGTATGATCCACCATCGAAGAGTGGAGATGTATGAATCTTATGTCCAAGAAGAATCTTATGACTACAGACGGCTTAGAAGAAGATTGATTAAAGCATTCAGTCTTGCTAAGAGCTCCTGCTGTCAATACGGGGGCAAGATATTCCGAACGGAACCGAATATTGATCACCTATGGATGTTCTCTATACTTAGGTTGGATGGTACGAATATGGACAGTTATAAACATTTGCAGAGCTTGCTAAAAACCCGAGAGTAAGTAGATCCGTTTAGGCGTGCATATTGCTAGAACGGAAGTAAATGGCAAGCGGGCGCATGAATAGCAGGGACTTTAAAGGTTGCTTACTGGAGAGTATTGGTTCTCAGCTTGTGAAAGAGTATTGAATCAGTTTTAGTTAAGGAGTTGTTATCATTTGAATTCTTCCAGTGGCCGTTAAGGTGACTGTATTGATTCATCTGATACCGTGGGATACAAAATGAAAACAAATAGAAATTAGTTCAATAAATCAGGTATAAAAAAATGAAAATCGCTAGAATCCAGCGCAAAACATATCTGGTGTTGACAAAGATTATCAACCACCAATATTGCAAGTCTAAATGCTTCATCCGAGTCCCAACACCAGAGTCTATACCCATCAAAATACCATTGTCCCAGTCCATAGTACCCTATTTTAAGCCCAGTTATTCAGGGGGTGTCTGAAGCACGCTTCGCGACGTGTCCGTATCGTCCGCATTCTTCTCCAGTATAGCAGCATTGGCCTCAGCCAGAGAACATCTCTTCCAAACTGACCAAGCGCTGCCAATATGGCCCAGTAGCCACCAACAGAGGAGGACTGGCAGGACGATAGTGCGGTGCTGCTTGCACCCGTTCGACCAAATGTCCATCAGCAGGAGCCAGAAATTGTGCGCTGGCAAAGCCCAGCCGACGCGATAGAACCCAGCCGTCAACTCGAAGGGGTAAACCGTGCTCGTGATGTTCGTGATGATCCACGTCAACACGAAGAAGGACCAGAATTTCATAGGTATGACAATCTCCATCAATGTGTCTACTACCGTATATTGGATCTCCATGTACAGCCAGAATGCCATCCATGTCTTTCCAAAATGGGCGCTGGTCACAAACCAGTCTTCTCGGAACGCCCAGATATACGCGACGCTACAGAGCGCGCAAAAAAAGGTGTGGAACTTGCTGATGACGAGCCGAGAGATGTAGACGTCTCGCTTGGACATCTTGTTGTAGACTCCGGCCTGCCCCGAGATGTTATTCATACCCATCAGGAAGAAGAATTGCATCAAGGCCCCCATCACCATTGTGACTGTGTTGAGAAGGACCCTTGATCCTTGGTTGGTTGGCGACTTGACGATTGAGGAGGATCGAATCGGGTTGAGGAAGGCTGTAGCGCTCGAGGGGCTTGTGAAGTTGACTGTTGACAGTGCCTCGGTAGAGACTGAATATAACGTTCGTGACGCGACTGATATCAATGTCTCCATGTTGGACACAACCGACGACATTGAAACGATAGGGTAATAAGATCCGTAGTAGGTATACGATATTGTGTCTTTGGGGTCGTATGCGGTCGAGCTATCGCCGGAGAGAGCGGTCATGAGTCTGTCTGAGGCGCCGTCATGTGTGTAGATGGCCGCCCAGTACCCTTCTGTACACATGGCTTCCTCGAGAGACTCCACCGTCGGATACTGTGATGCTGAACGAAATTCCAGGGATGGAAAACTGTCGGCTCGTAAGGAGCTATAGGCCGCATCGAGAGCGTGACCAATTTCGTGGCCATCATAGTCGACTGCGAGGACTCGGAGTGCATGTACGCGTGATCCAGATTTGAAAAGGGAACCGTACAGATATGACATATTCCCTAGAAATACGAGTTGGATGAGTATTCCGGTTATGACGATAGGAATGCCAAATTTGGGCAGCTTGGATGTCCAATAATTCGAGAGCAAAGGCTCCCTGTTGGAAGCTCTTGGTGGTAAGACACCCATATTGACACGGCCGAGAAGGAAAACAAGTAGGGAACGTTTAAAGAGAAGTATGTGGAGAGGGTATGCAATGGAGGAGGGCGGTATCGTTTCTTCAAGGGTGGCACTACGCATATAATATATCCATGTGCTTCTCGCTCTCCCCTGACTTCAGAGCCAAGGACCATCCGGGCGTGTCGCATTTTCGGGGTTGGCAGGGTCCCGCGCGGCTCGCTTCCCGGGACATGTCCGATCTGGGCGTCGAGGAAGCAAGCAGACTATTCTATACGGGTGCACATTTGAAGATCCAGCCCAATGACAGATGTGTGCCACTCCGTGAGCCTGATGTTCCCCAAGTGAGTGGGGAAAGATGGCATGATGCACTGGGCTAACAATGTTAGATCCCTGCATTATCATGGCTTCGCCGCGTAGTAAGCGGCTTTGAGAACCGAAGTTGGCCTATTCCTTTAACTCCGGTTTCCGTTCGCCATTCGGGCTCAGCTAACGGCCGATTCTTTGCCTCGATTAGGGGTCTGCCTTTGCACGATAATGTTGGCACACCCTACCAATAGATTCGATTGATTATGCAAGCTTTCAAAATCGAACCCCAGACAGGGATTATAAGTTACAATGATGTAATCTACAAAATCAAAGTATCGGAAAACCCACCAAATCATTCTCTACCGGGACGGCCGAGCCGGCCGAGAATGCATGAGACTACCGAGAACGTACCAGACGACCGAGAATATGCAAGATGACCGAGAATGCACGGGTTGTCCGATTTGGCTAAGAAGCCGAGGAATCTACTACCAGGCTCCGGCCCCGTAAGGATAAAACAAATTGACACGTCGACCGTGTGTTGATCAGGGATTGTTTCTAGGCATCGGTAGCGAGCTTTTATAAGACTTTGTGAAAATTCGTAAGATTTTGTGAGACTAAGGATCAATCTTACTATTCCTTCTGAAATTCGTAACGGACTTTGTAAGACTATTGTCAATATTAGGCTTACTTTTGCTTGCAAGTTTGTCTAAAACTACTACGCTACATCTAACAGGTATCTATCCTGATTATTTGTAATAGAGCGAGATTTTAAAAGAATCTTGTAAGCACATGTCAGCTTTGGCGATCTAACTGTTTCCACGTTTTAAACAGTAGCCGAGTATAAACGAGCAATACCGAAATAATAAGCCACAAGACAAAAGGCAGGAAGAGCCTCTTAATTTCTTTTATATGATGTTGTAGTTGAAACAAATGAGCTTGATTGAATACGTTGAGACATACGTCGTGATAAGAACTTATTCAGCCAGCCGTGGAATAAATCTCCTGCGGAGTCCTCGGTGACGGTTGCATCGACATTAATCCAGCTTGCCGATTTATCTCTCTCTATTAAGGCTCGGCTTCTCAGAGCCTTAATTCTATCGTTGTTTGTTGTCTGAAATAAATCCAGCTTTTCAAATACACCAATCATGTAGTCCTTTTCTTGTGCATTGGCGAATGCAAAGGTCGAACTTATCGATTGCCTAGGGAGCGGCACAGTGAGCAAATCATGGTCCCGAAGAAATGGGATGAACCTCCATATTGTGAGGCACGTCGTCCTCAGGGTAGCAAACAAAGCAGCTGCTTTTTCACTTTTTCCTTGAGTTGAATTCCATTTGAGACTCGCGAGAAGGATGATAAGGCGAACGGTAAGCAGGCCGAGTAGGAATTGGCATGAGAAGGGGGTTAGGACCCAGTATTTCAACATAAACGGAGACTCCGGATCCTCTTCCTCTTTCAGGAGATTGTTTTCTTTCATCTTTTTAAGAAGCTCAGAACATGCTTGCTCCGACTTAGCAGCGAGCCCTTGGAGAAGTCTAGTAACATCGTATGGCTTTGAAGTAGAAAGCCCTAGGCTATATGCACTAGGAGCTTTGATGGCCTGAAGAATTTGCGGGAAACGAGCACACAAGGTGTTATAAAAATCAAAAGCCTCCTCTAGGAGAGGTTTTAGTTTTTCAGCGTTAAGATAATCTGCCACAGAGCCTGCGAAGGCACTGATCCATTCGGGGGTGTCGAAGACATTAGTAGTCCCTCCACCCGAAGCGATCCAATGTGGTAGCTAGATGGAAGAAGTTAGCAACAGATTGAGAGACGTGGTTTCTAGATTGCGTGAAATCAAGAGCATCATATGACCCTATAATTACAGATGACTATAATGGAGAATTTTACTATGCGCAAAACGCCCAAGGATGGCACTCACCAGGAGAACATATGCCGCCATACCAAGACGAGCATGAAGCTTATCGCCGGGCTTGGGAGGACCAATTCTAGAGAACAAAGTCATAAGACCCTTTTCGTGTTGAAGTCGTGAATTTCCTTGATCAAAGTAGAGTTCTGCCTGCTGTATCACTGTAACAGCTGCCAGTGTGTCAACTGTGTAAGCCTTATCACTTTCTAAAGTACGAGCCAAGCTGTGGATTGCTTTCCCGTAAGCTGGCATATGGGACAATAGAATTTTCTTCTCATTACGCCGGTAGATATCCCAGACGTTGCAGAGCAGTGCAGAAGCATCAAGAAGACAAGCACTATCCCCCAGACGTGCCGGCAAGTACTTGAAGGGTTCAATGTGGATGACCATCCGGTCCTTGGCAGCATCGATATGATACACCAAGCGACCGGCCACCAGATCAGTAGGCGAAAGCAACGCCGGCTTGGGCTGTGTAGTTTGGTGGCGCTGAGGTTGCCGGCTGTTATTTGTGTTGACAAACTTGAGTAGTGAAGAAGGTCCAGGACACGGTTGTCTCTTCCTTAAGCACTGGGAACAGGTTGGCCAATTTTTATCACACTATACGAGGAAGAGGAGCAAGGAGAAGTTAGTTGCTGATCGTTGGGTCGGAATGTCAGTCGTAAAACGAACCTTTGTTCTCCGGGCTTTGCATGGCGCACAAGCACGCGATTTAAGAACTCCAGGCATTTCTTAACCCAAAATGGAAGGTTTGCAGCTGGTAGCTGTCACTATCTAGCGGGAGGGTTTAATGGGGGGCTCAAGACATGTGACTGGGATTTTATGAATTTTTGCAGGTGTTGGAAGGCGTTTCCTGAGCTTACGCGTAATAAGGGTACATAGATAGATTATGTTGGTTAAAGTGAGTGATCTCATCCTAGCTACAGATCTGGGTCGGTTATATACCCAGTTCCAGAGGGGTCGTGACTAAGCCTATAAGCAGATATAAGGCGATTACTTGCTCCACATAAATATTACGAGCTGTTACAAAATATGCCTGTGTAGGTAACCAGTGATACCAATAGCAGTATTACCCCATACCCAATGGACACATACTCGGGATCAACGCAGCCGGGAAGGTGTATTGCAGAACTGCTCTACAAAACCCGGATTCTCGGAGCATATGCGATAGAAGCTCATGCACTGACATCTATGGGAAATCCTGTCTTAGCCCTTGGACTCCAAAAGTGAGTTCCGCGCAAGAAATTTCTCCGCAACAACAAACGCGACACCTCAATGTGAGACAAATCCATCGACAAACTCCACCCTTCAAACGGTCTGATTCTTAAACTAGGGATTTGAGAGATAGCGAGATTCGAAGTGAATTGACTTGATTAAGGAAGAAGAGGGTATCTCGAGGCTACAACTAAGGAACTCTACTTATGGCTGGAGCTTTCGGCTGGTCGTGTCATGTGGTTATACGGTAGCAAGAATATGAGACTACCCTATACCACCAAACTTCACCACTAATTTCACTCACCACGATATGAAAACATCGATGACCGATCACGTTGTTAGAGGAGAGATTGTCCAGTCGCATTCTTCTGACGTGTCAGCTCAATCAGTTTTCAAGCATTATATATCATATCATGTCTATATGCACATGAACATAAGCGTGAGGAGTAGACCCTGGTTAATCATTAATCGGGCACTTCTTGGTCCTGGGTTAGCACCCGATAGGCCCATGCAATGAATTCCTTGGAGTAATTAAGCTGAAGAATCATTTAAGGTTGTTAGAAAATTTTACAGCGCGTCAATAGCCTCATCATTCTTGGTGTAGGTGCATATCTAATCTGAACGGGGGGTTAAGACGGCACCGGCCTTCTGAAAAGCCTCCGATCCTGAATATCCGCCCTAATATATAATGAATTATCCCTAATATGGGTATTTATGTACCCCGTCACGTCAAAGATCTTGTCCAGATCTTCTATCATCCGCAGACATGGCGCCAGTTTGGTCGGGACAGCCATTCAAGGCGGCCTATATTGCCTTCGCTCTTTTGATTAAGATCCCAGTACTTTTGGTGCTCTCCCCTAGATTCTTTTTTCCAATATTTCGCCCGCTCCCGACTCTCACCTTCCGGATCACTCTTTTCGCCAGGCTCGTCCGTGAATATATCCTGTTTCAAGCACAAACTCGTTCCAACGACAAAAGCGCCGTGGAAACTAGTCAGTCTAAGGCGAAGGACCGTTTTGCCAAAGCCCAAACCGGCGACACAACTCTCTACACTGCTATCTTGGAAGCCACCCCGATCATCAAACCTACCGAGGTCGGGGGCCTTTGGTACCCTGGGCCCCCGCCGTCTCCAGCGGACCTCAAAGACGAGAGGGTTGTTCTTCATTTCCCGGGAGGGGCATTTGTCATAGCCTGTGGTAGCGATATGAACGGCCGGATGTTCAGTCCCTTTGTTGTGAACGATCTCAAAGCGAGTCGGCTCTTCGTTGCTCAATATCGCGTTGCGGAGGGTCCCAGTACGCGATTTCCCGCAGCACTCCAGGACCTAGTCACATTCTACAACTACATTTTGTCCTTGGGATACAGGCCTTGCAATGTTCTCGTCTCCGGCGACTCCGCGGCAGGCAATCTCACGATAGGCTTGGTGCGATACTTGGAACAAACAGCAGTGCTCCCATTGCCTGCTGGTGCGATGCTTTGGTCTCCCTGGACACACGTGACAGAGTCTGCTGGGCAAGATTATCTGAAAGAGACGAATGCAAATGCGGATATATTGACACCGGAAGTACTTCAATGGGGAGCAGATGCGTACCTTCCGGACAATTGGTCATCCAAGGAGGTTCTTCCTTATGTTTCCCCGTTACACCATCCGTTTCCAAACTCCGTTCCGTTTTTTGTTCACAGTGGAAAAGCTGAAGGTTTCCGTGATACTATTCGAGCCTTTGTAGAAGAAATGTCTGAGGTGGAAGGGAACCGTGTGAGGCTTCATGAAACGGATATGGCTCCACACAACTCGGCGTTTTCCCACCTCGCCACAGGGTTGACGGCTGCTATTCAAAGGGCCTTTGAAGATGCTCGGGATTTTTTCAATGACCAGGCTTGATGGAATGGTATCCATGTGCGTCACAGTCTAGGTCATGGTTTCTTTTTGGTGGTCGGTAAAATTTGGAAATATTGGGAGGACTAGCAATATATCTTTTCTCAACCACTTTCCATTGACACGGATGGCAAAATGCCACAGATACAGGTCATTTAATAGTAGTGATTAATTGCCCACTCTTAGCTAGAGTCTAAAGCTACAGGTAAGGCTTACGATTCAAGACAGCAGAGGGAGCCAGAATCATTTTCTCAAAGCTTCAAAATGATAGCATAGATGTGCCTTTTTGTTACTGCTGGAGTTTTAGAGCAGCAATCGCGTCAGTAACAGGAGTCACAGAACTCCAACCAAGCGTGCTCATTTGCAACGACTCAATGTATAGATCAAGTATCGCAGGCATGTGGCATGCACAAAAAGGGATGTTCCCGATAGATGCCTTGGCGCGATTATCGTTCCAGAATCCGAGTTCTCCATCGTTTTGCAGCTCCATCAGATCGTAGACAGCTTTCACACCTCGGTGAGTGTGCCACGTATTGTCGTGCTGCGCGGATGATGTTTCGCAGAGGTCGCAGCTCAACACTGAGCGGCAGATGGCCCAGACGACTTGAGCGGCGCGGAAGAGGCACGTCACTGTCGAGGGGCAGACGAGGGAGCGTGAGGCTTTGATTCCCAGAGAGGTTTCCTTAAACTGCTGTAGGATTTGTACCGCATGCCACAGAGCTTGCTTAGCGTTGGAAGATTTGGTCCAGAGCTGTATCCGGGCTTCGAAGCGGCGGATCAAGGATGGGCTGTAGTTGTTCGTGCTCAGGCCGTCGATCAACCGTTGAATGAGCGTGAGGTCTGCATACATGCGGAGGAAAGACATATGATATTGCATTTTGGCAGTGAAGTAGAACCAAGTTTCGGTGCTCTTGTCACAGAACCCAACATTGCGTCCAGTCAAGTGATCCATGGTTGAGCGCCACATATCCAGCTGCACCTGCCAGCTGAGCCCGTATCCCGCGATGCCCACGCTGGCCTGGCGAATATCGAACGAGGGGGAGACAGAGTAGAGGGTCGTTTCGTGCTCATGCTGGACCTCCTCCCACAGCCGAGACTGCATGGCGACTACCCCTGTCTCGAAGTCTTCGGGGAGGAGAAAGGCCAAATTCGGCCGGATCGTATCCGACAGTGCCTGCATGCATGTCAATGAGTAGGTCTTGTCCATTCTGCCTAGAGGCTCCCGAGCCAGAGCTAGCTCCCATTCTCCAACAGTGGTGGCATTCCATGCCACCTCGGAGCAAGGGTAGTGCAGACACAACTCGGGCACGCGTATCGACGGCGGATAGTCGCGGAGGAGGTGCAAGTAGCAGTCAAGACGAAAGACTGCATATGCCAATCTAAAATTAGGCAGGTCAGCAGTTGATGTGCGACAGGTATAGGCTACAGGTTTACCTTTTCTTTTGTTCACGAATGAGCCATCGGCTGACGTGGCTAGCAGACTTCTCGTCCTGAGCCACAACTCCCTCCACACGGAAATATCCAGCTTCTCTGGTACACATGGTCAGAGTTGGCAGAGACATACAGGCCATTCTCACGAGGTCTGTCTCCTGGAAAGCCAATTTAGTACTAGATAGCTGAAATCTTAGATTTTAATCAACGTACTCCAATATACCAACCAAACAAGATGCTTAATAGAAGGGCTTGGAGGGTCTCGAGGTGTTCAGCATCGCTTGGCCGCTAATCATTGTACGGTTAGCCCATGTTACTGCGGGTGTGACGCGCAGACTAACCTCTATGGCTTGTAGTAGCACCCGTTGTGACAACCACTTGTGCAGTCGTATTGAAGGGGCTCGCAAGTCAGGATCACCCACTAGAAGAGAGCCTATCAAGCCAACCGCGTGCTGGAGTTCGGAGATGCGTTGAGACTGACTGAAACTCGCTTTGTGCAGTATTGGCCAGTGGTTGTGGAAACTCGAAAAGTACCTATCAAACTTTCGCTTTTCTGATATTGCGGTAGAGGCATGTGCCAGGTCGACGGGTATCGGAAAGCTAGCAGTAGAATGGGTCCGCAGGGTGCCTGCAGACATGCTCTCCCAGACTGCTTCGCTTAGAGGCGAATGGAATTCAAGCTGGGACCTGGTCTTGTGATGTAGTGCTGTCGGTTCTTCCATGTCGTATGACGCTTCTGACTGTCGACGATGCCCCGAGGATGAGGTGTTTGTGTTGGGAGATTGTGCGAGGGTAGCCTGAAGTGATTCCTCCCAGGACTGGAAGATGTTGGGTCCAGGGGCGGCGCTTGATTGGGTCAGACCGAGGAGTG